GGAACATTACACAGTTAAACATATGGAATGTATTGGACTATTCCAGTCCATTTTTTTTCCTAGCAGTGTCTTCTCATTACTTCCCTTAGAGATCACATTCATCTCTTTTGTGGTTCAGTTTAAACTTAATTAGTTAACTTGCTTTTATTATAACTATTTATTAATCATGTGGCATTTAGACTAGAGGGACTAGGTGGCCCAGGGATTATGTAAGGGGCAACGAAGCCTTCTATGTTGTGAGTTCAAAGCCAGCCCAAGTGGTCAGAAATTGTTCATCTCTGGAGGGCATTTGGTGGCCTCTCTGTAGTGATTGATCGGGGTTTCAATCCAACTCCCTCTAGAAAAGTATCCAAAGTACAACTGCCATTGCAATACCTTGTCATTAATCAGCTTATGGGCAGAGGAGCAAAGGATTGATTGGACACACAGCTGAACTGCCAGTCACGCTGGTAAGGGGCGATGTGTTGTGGAAGCTTGAACTGCACTTGTGTGTGGGCTGCTGCAGAGGGAAAACAGAAGACTACAGTCTCTCAAGTATCAATTTGCCACCTTTCATCAATGATAACGTCACTACAAACCAAACGTCATTTCAAAGTAATTGCAATTTTGACTTCAGAGCAATCCCTATAACTCAGCAGAGAACACTGTATTCTATCTGAAAAGATCTATTCAGAGAAAAATAGGGTAAAATTTTGGATCCAACAGCTAACAATGTGGCCTTGTTGCCAAGAAGGCTAATGGCATTTTGAGCTGTATAGGTAGGGGCATTGCCAGCAGATCGAGGAACGTGATCGTTCCCCTTTATTCGGCATTGGTGAGGCCTCATCTGGAGTACTATGTCCAGTTTTGGGCCCCACACTACAAGAAGGATGTGGAAAAATTGGAAAGAGTCCAGCCAAGGGCAACTAAAATGATTAGGGGGCTGCAGCACATGACTTATGAGGAGAGGCTGAGGGAACTGGGATTAGTTAGTCTGCAGAAGAGAAGAAAGAGGGGGGGATTTGATAGCTGCTTTCAACTACCTGAAAGGAGGTTCCAAAGAGGATCGATCTAGACTGTTCTCAGTGGTACCAGATGACAGAACAAGGAGTAATGGTCTCAAGTTGCAGTGGGGGAGGTTTAGGTTGGATATTAGGAAAAACTTTTTCACTAGGAGGGTGGTGAAGCACTGTAATGGGTTACCTGGGGAGGTGGTGGAATCTCCTTCGTAGAGGTTTTTACGGTCAGGCTTGACAAAGCCCTGGCTGGGATGATTTAGTTGGGGATTGGTCCTGCTTTGAGCAGGGGGTTGGACTAGATGACCTCCTGAGGTCCCTTCCACCCCTGATATTCTATGATCCTATGGCCAGGATACTACTACTGCTGGTACAATTTTCCAGGTCTGTCTATGCCTATCAAATACATTAAGCATAGAAATTAAGAGATAGAGGGGACTCACTGGATCATTTAGCTCTTCCCTGCAAGCAATGTAGGATCATTCCATCAGAATATCCTTCAGTGCTTTGTCCCCAGTTCTGTTTTAAATGTCCCAGCTGATAGGTCTTCTCCACCTCACTTGAGAGATGACTCCAATCTAATAGGCCTCACTGTTAGGCCTCTGTTCCCCTATGTTAGCCTTATGTTTTCATTTGCTCAGTTTCATCCCACTCCCCACACTCACCCTCCTTTTGCGCATTTTTCTTGTGCATTACAATTATTTTAATTCAAAAGGGATGGCAACAATTCCCTAATCTCCACCTGTGGTTCATGGCCAAGCACAGACATATTTAATGGTTGTGATGTTTGTTCAGCTTGGGTTTTTTTAAACTATCTAGAATAACAGCTGATGAACATCTGTGGAAACATCTGCATTGTGTATGAAATGATTTTTAACAACCCTCCGGGTTAATAGGGGTTACTTGTCCATGGAACCTGTTTCCCGAGTTTGTCCATGGCCACTTCAAAAGCAAATCCCAGTGCTGGCTTCCTAACCCTCTGTTCAGGTTCAGCCTGGTATATGTTGTTGAGTGAAAGACAAACCTGTCTGATTTTACTAAGGGAGGGGTTGAGGGATTTGTGCAAACTGGTTAACCCCCCTCCCCTCCCGGGTGGAATATTTGTGTGTTCCAGAGCATCATTTTATTGGAAACTGAAACAAGATTAGGGCAGTCTGGCAACTGAGAACTTTATTTAAGATGCTGCAAAGATAATTGGACTCCTGATCTCAGGGATTTACCCAGAAGCATAAAGCCAGAGTGAAAAGCTGGTGCATAATGGTTTCAAGGGATTCATCTTATTAAATAAAATCACTTTGAATCCTTCATTTCCCCACTGAAATCCTATGCATTTCTCTGCTGAATGCTGCTGTTGTAAAAGCCACTTTTTGGAGGGCTTCTTGAGGTGCTCTTTCTAAGACAAGACACTAAACTGAGGGCTTATCTGCCATATCTAGAGAGTATACTGAACTTACCACCATGGTACCTGAGTGCATTATATGCAAAGAAGGAAATCTGTTACTCTTTCTCTCCTTTCTTCAGTAAGATTTCCCCAAGAAATTCCCCCAAATTGGAAGAATGGGGAATGTTTCCCCACCTGTCCAATCATCTTCACATCTAAGCACTTCCTTGATAAATGACATCTGCATAGCAAGCCTTCTAATCATCTTTTCTTCTCCTTTCCCTGCTATAGGGCTTTTCCTCGGGATATAGACCCCATTTTTTAAATCCTGTATTCTTGACCAGCAAGAGGACAGTAAGATCTCATAGCAGTTTTCAGAAGCATAGGGTTGTTTCTCTTGCTAAATTCCACTATGGGTAATTACGTTCTGCCTACCGGCAATCTCCCCCTTGCCATTTTAACTGGCTACCTAGTATTCTCCTTGACTTCCAGTGCAGAACTGATATGCAGTGAGGCTGTGAGCTGTCAAACAGCTGTCCAATTTCATCCCAGAGACTGCTGACTTGCAGTCCTGACTGCAGCAATTCCTGCACATATCGTTTGGGAGATTTAAAAAACCTATATAAATATATCAGAGGGGTAGCCATGTTAGTCTGGATCTGTAAAAAGCGACAAAGCGTCCTGTGGCACCTTACAGACTAACAGACGTATTGGAGCATAAGCTTTTGTGGGTGAATACCCACTTCGTCAGACGCATGTGGTGGAAATTTCCACTACATGCGCCTGACGAAGTGGGTATTCACCCACGAAAGCTTATGCTCCAATACGTCTGTTAGTCTATAAGGTGCCACAGGACTCTTTGTCGCTTTATACAAATATAAGCTCTGATAATAATGCAGATAATATTGGTCCCAGTTCAGCAAGTGTTTAATGTTAAATCAAAGTGTTCAAGTACTTTGCAGAATCAGGGCCATTATTAAGTGTTATAGTGGAGGGAAGTGGAGGACTCGTGGAAAAAATGTACAAAAAATGTTCCCTCTTCAGTGTGATTTTGTTTTTGACACATCAGAAATGAAGTGCAGTGGCAGCATTTAGGGGCTCACTACCCTTCCTGTGTTGGAGGTCAGAGGAACTGGATTTTCCCCCTGGTTTTGCTTAACTACAGCACAGTATGTCCCCATGAGAAACAAAGACACTTTTTCATTTACTTGTTCTTCTGCAGAGGTGAAATGTAAAATTCACATGGGATCAAACCTTTGAATCTCATTTCCCTACAGGATTTAAAGCACCAAAGCTCAGAAAATCTTAAGCAACTCACTGAAAATACATCCCACCCTGCTCCAACCACAGGCAAGGTGAAACTTTATGAGGAGAAAAGGAATGTCTTGTGTGCATTTAGTTTAGGATATTAAAAAGAAAATCCTGAGATGCTTTTCTACACATCAAAGCACTCTGAGATAAGGACAAAAGGCCAGGGGGAGTGCTATAAGTTCTGGCTCTCAAACTCGTTAAAAGGGACTTCAAGGAAAGTGATATTTGTTCCAAATGTGTGTTTTGAGATCCTCAGGTGAAAAACTCCAGGGAAATGCAAAGTAATCTTGCAGGAGCGTCTCAGTTATGAGGGGTTCAGCACCTTGCTAGCGGTACCAATGAAATATCCAGAAATAAGATGAGACCAGCTGACTTTTCCTAACGATAGTGTGATGTTGCATCATGATGACCCAGAGCCACGAGACAATCAGTTTGTTCAGAAGGGCATGTATCAAAGCAGGGTGGTATAGAGAGATCTCCAGAAACACAAGATAATAAGAATGGACTTGAACTTGGCCCACATCTCCGACTGAACCACTGAAAGAAGTTCTTCCCCACCGATGCTGAAAGAGTCTCCTCCATTTGAAATCCAGCTTACTGTCTTAGCAATGTGTTCTGGGTTTTCTGCTATTGTCTTCTACATTTCACAAGTTCTGATATTTTCCTTGGAGAGACCTGTTGTGTTGAGGTAGCCTCTGACCCAAGGAATCCCCACAAGAACAAACTAAACCTCATCAGAGACAGGGCCAAGTAGTTTCCTGCTCCAGTGGAACATACCTCTCAACTGTCCCTCATTTCAAGGGACATCACTCATTTTTAGGTTCAGAGTTACCTAGTGTCCACACAAAATTTGGCGTCCTCTCCTTGTTGAAAATTATTTACAGCAGAAATAAAGAATCATGAATGTGAGGTTGTGGGGAAAGTTATTGGCACTGAATAAGTGAGGAGCCCTGTATTTTCAGGTTCTTGCATGAATTTTTCTAGTGTGTCCCTCCTTTTGGGTCTATGTCCCACACTCTGTTCCACAGGTGTGTTGCAAAGCGAAACCCTGTTTGTAGGGGGAAGAAGGAAAGGGGAGGAGTTGCTGGGGGTGAGAAAGGGAAGTGAATTGATGGGCTGAGATAAAGGGAGATGAGAGAGAAACATTTGACCGGTGTTAGGCTTCATTCATTAATAGGAATTCCTTTGTTAATTGTGCTTTTTCTACCATAAAATATAAGACTTTCATCTACAGCATTTATGGCCCTTTTCCACTGCCCCACTACGGATCCACTAAAAACAACCCCCTTTCTTTTTCTCCCTTTGCTTGGCAGATCATAAGCAAGCTGACTACAGAATATAGCACTGCATCAGGGATCTATTACTGCGTGGCTTCGAACAAGATTGGCAAAGAGGAGAGAAGCATCAAGTTCTATGTCTCAGGTAAATAACAGGCTGCACAGATGATGGGTGCTTGCTTTATAAAAGCTTGGTTGCACTCTTATCTATCCCAGAGTTTCATACCATTGCCCATCACCACAGAATCCAAGCAATTTCCATGTAGTATCAATGGCAATAGCAAAGTCCCTAGTGGACTTCATGGGGTCTCCGGCACCTCTCTCAGACTAGGTGTCAAATTAGCCCTTTCCTACCATGGTGCAATCCCACTGGAGTCAAGGAGGTTTGCAAAGATAAGCAAGGGCAATATCTGGACCTGACCCAATCCCACAGTTGTAGTTAGAAAGTTTTTCCTAATGTCTAATTAAGGGGGCTGAACTGGATGACTTCTTGGGGGCTCTTCCAGTGCTAGATTTCTATGATTCTATATTATTTCTCCAAATAACACAATTCCAAACCCATATCTGTGAAATCAGAAGGTTACACAGCCTGGCATATTTGTCCAAATATTTAAACAAATTAATTTTAATTGTGCACTCTCCCTTCTGAGTTCTCTTTCTGGGCACACTCTACCGGCAGGAATTTACACTGAAATGGCAAATTTTAAACAAATATTCCAGACGCTTCATATAAAGCAAATGTCAAATTCTCAACCATTAGTATTTGCACGGGGAAATGGATTCTAAGAGTGAAGCTCTCCAGTCAGGGAACGCAGACCCACAGTGTGACTTGTTCATTCAATACAACTCAATTGCTGAGTGTTGAATACATGCAGCACATTGCTTGGGGGAAAGCTACAGGCACAGTAGTCATTCATGGAAATCATCCAGGAATAATTCCAAATAACAGATCCCCCTGGCTGAAAGCATCACAGTCTGCCCAGGAACACAAGAAAAGGCAAAATTAACTGAATAAACGATCCAGCATGAATCCTTCACCCAGCTCCAGCTACACTGTAGTAATAGCCCTACCCACTGCAGGGACTCTTGTACGCTGTGTCGTTTAGGACCATGCCTGTAAAGTAGGTCAGTAAATTTTGAATTAAGGGTAAGAAGGGATGTGTGCATCAAACCTTACTGCCATTCCTGTTACCTAAAAGTGCTGAGATGAAAAATGTCACCAAACAATGATGAAGTTGGTGCAGGTTTGGGGTCACATACCTCCCTCTGTTACAGCTCATTGATGCTGGCCTGGTGGCATGCAGGGGCCATAATAGGATGGCTATGTCCCCCCGGGGTATTTCTCCAGTGCAGGAGCAACATAAGGCCAATATATGCAGCCCTACAACCAGGGCCGTCCTTACCTATACGCAAAGTATGCAGCTGCGCAGGGCACAAGGAAATCGCAGCTACGTGCTGCTCCAGCCCCTGCCCCACCTCTTCCCCATGGCCCTGCCCCTGCTCCGCACCAGCCCCACCCCCACTCCCCTGAGGATTGAAGCAGGGCTGGGCCTGCACTCACCAGCAGCGGGAAGTGCAGCGGCCCAGCCCCAGCCGTGCTACCAGTGAGGGCTGGGGAGTGGTTCACCCCTGTCTCCCAAGCCAGCCCCTTCTCCCCCCCGCGGAGGCCTGGGGCCAGCCTCGCCCCCCCCCCCCGGAGACCTGGGGCTGCGTAGGGCCCCAGAATAGCTAGGGACGGCCCTGCCTATAACACTCTCCTGCACAGGCCCCAGCACTGGGGGTTGTCAGAGGTGGGAATAGGCGAGAGGTGGTCAGAGTCTAAGTTCCCTCTAAGCTGCGTGGCTGCGCAGCTGCCTGTTAAGCACCACGCAGGCGCTCAGGGCTGCGGCGGGGAGAGATGCCCTGACCCAGCCCAGCCCGGAACCTGCCGCAGCTGGGGGACAGGCGTCCCTCCCAGGCCCGACCCAGCCCGGCTTGAACCTGTCGCAGCTGGGGGAGAGGCACCTCTCCCCCAGCCCACATGCTGCTGCGATGAGAGAGAGCTGGGAGGAGTCCTCTCTCCCTACCATAGCCCCACTGCACCCTGAACCCCTCATCCTCAGCCCCACCCCAGAGCTTGCACCCCCAGCCAGAGCCCTCAGCCCCCCTCACTCCAACCCTCTGCCCCAGCCCTGAGCCCCTCATCCCCGGCCCTACCCCAAAGCCCGCAGCCCCAGCTGGAGCCCTCAGCCTTTCGCACCCCAACCGTCTGCCCCAGCCCTGAGCCCCCTCCCACACTCGGAACCCATCGGCCCCACCCTGCCACATGAATTTACTTATGTACACCAATATGGAGGTGATGTGTCACACATCACCTCCATATATCACCTTCATATTGGTGCACATAACAAAATCCATTCTGCACATGGATGGGAAAAATTAGAGGGAACACTGGAGAGTGCTCTGTGATCCAATAATTTCTGGTCTTGGGAAAAGACTCTCCCTCCTCCTAGGATGCTCTTCTGAGAGAGACAGCAGAAGTCCCTGAAACAACCCTGACAGGCTGGAGATCAGTTATTAATTATACACTTTACCGCTGCCATATGTGAACCTTCATGTAGGCTTCATTCTGCTCTGAGCAGTGCCAGATATTATGTTTGGATGGGTTTCTCAGTGATCAAATCAGTCTGTTCCCATTGCTATTCCACCCACAATGCTTTTTAATACTCTCCATCCTCTACTAAAACCAATTTTGTGGCTGCTCAATGTGGGAAATACAAGTGGAACAAGATGAGGTTCAAAGGGTGGCAGCCACCCATGGGCCTGTTAGTGGTAAAAACCTTTCACCCCACTAATGAAGCTGTTTTGTCCACAGAGACGTTTGTTAGACAACTTGGCAGAAAGGCTGTTTTTCTCTGGAGCAGTTGGAAGTTTTATATTTCAAACCTTCTTTTAATTTTCTTTAAGGCCAATATTTTTCCAGACAGGGAGCAAACGTTTAAGGCACCCATTTTTAACAGTGAGGGTAATTAACCATTGGAACAACTTACCAAGGGTTGCGGTGGATTCTCCATCACTGGAAATTGAATGAAGAGTGCATGGGGGTTTTTTTCCTAAAAGATATGCGCTAGTTCAACCACTGCTATGGGATGTGAAGCGGGAATTAATTCAAGGAAGTCCGATGGCTTGTGTTATGCAGGAGGTGAGACTATATGATCACAATGGTCCTGTCTAGCCTTAAAACCTAAGAAAGCTGAACTTTGACTTCTACACTGAAAGGAGTTTTTACTTGGTAACAAGTTTCTCTAAAGAAAAATGGAAAGAGAGGGAGAACAGCCCAGAAGGCATTTTATATTAACATTCCAGAGACAATGTGACATGAGCCCTCATTATCCATGTGCTGCTTACATCAAACCATTTAGGGTTATTCCCATCAGAAAATTGTCTTCTTTCCATCTGAAATATACCAGATCATGAACAGGGCTAGGGGAGACATTCTCACCCCTAAAGGGAAGCGTGTGAGTTCCATGCCATCCTGGGAGAACAAGAGACATTAAAAGATAGCGACCGACTCACATAAATCAGACGTTTAAGGAAGAATGATGACATTTATGGATCGCAAGTAAACTGGATCTTGCTAAATGCAGACAGCACAGTCCCTAAAGTGGAATTGTTTAGATTCCATTGGTAAAATATTACCAAGTCTGACCTGCTGCTTTGTCTCTTGGTGGGATGATCCTTTGCTGAGAGGTGCATGTGACTCCATCAAAGAAGCCAGTCCCCTTGCAGATGTCAGAAGAGCAACAACTCTGGGGCTGATTCACATATAGAAAAACTCTGCCCACCTTCCACACTGTGTAAGGCTGACAAGGAAGGAAACACACGATTTTTCCCATCTTTTGTGGAATAGACATGTCTGGGTTTTTGACCCGCAGGGCCCTAAGACACTGGAGAAATCACATGGAGAGTTGCCTCGCCATCTAGTCCCACTGCTGGAGGGAGAGACTGAGATGATTTGCGAGGTGTGCATGAGGCGTCCATAATCACGGGGCCCACAGAAGTTGTTTGCATATAAGGCTGGTCCTGGTTATGGAAACTTGATTGCAAGTGGAGACGGAGAGAGTATCTTGTGCATCATGCAGAGCTATGTCTAAATGCTAGAGCAATATAACATCCTATGAAAACAAGTCATGACCTGCCTCATACTCCAAGGTTTTAGCTTTCCGACATGTTACAGCACCTGCTATAACGCTGCCAGTTTGGGGCCTGCACAACGAGACGTAGGGCAAAAGACAATATCCATTTTTTAGCAGTGAGGCTGCTGAGTGTGATGCAGCCTAAATCTGAGACTTGAGGACACTGGCTGGAATCAGGGTTTGAAAGTACACAGGGATGATGGAAGGGCCTTTGTGAGGAGAGCAGAAGATTTAGCAGAATTGATCCCAGCCACCCAAAGTCCAGAGCCTGCTCAGCTTCCACGTGTAGGGCTTGGTGGTTAATCCAACCGCTAGTGAGCACAAAAATCTTGAACTCTCATTATCTCCTATTGTCCTATGTGAAATGACTTGATGGGTCTCAAGCCACTTTCAAATGGACAAGTAACCAAATCACCGAAATCTTCTCCAAGCTGGAGCCAATTGGTTTCCTTGTGGGGAATCCTTGCCAAGGAACTAAGTACAGAGTGGGTCATGGAGACCAAACTCCGCTCTTGCTCTAGAGATAGTCCTTTCAGGTCAGGGTTGAAGTGTTTTGGCCATGCAGTGTAATGGGGAATAATGGGGAAACCTGCATGGTCATTCTGGGCAAAAATACAACGCTTCAGACTCCAGGGCTGCCAACCTGGCACTTTCACCAACACTAAACTAATTTCAGAAAGGAAAGAAAACAATCCCTTTGACCTACAGGAATATCGGCATAATCCATTTGTCCTTCTACGGGGCAGGCGCCTACAGAACTCACAGAGACACTGGAAATAGCACTGAAAACTACTTTTAATACGTTTCATTGCCAGCAGAACACATTTCATTGCAGGGGGGTTGGGCATTACTCTAAAACCAAACCATATAAAGGGGCCATCTAAATGGAAAATGATTTAATTAGATGGCAGAACTATACCCTCTTTAGGCTCTTCCTGCAGGTGTCCTGACAGCTTTGCCCAAGTAAAGCATTCACAGTACTTTGTGATAATTAGGAATGTCCTGTCCTAACTCTTACTCCAGTTTTTACATTCTGCTTAGTTAAATCCCCCGTACAGTTTCAATAAGATATCAGATTTGTCTTCAGTTTATACTGTCTACCCCAGTTTTGACATCTAGTTACCCCATAGTAATATTTTGCAATGGGAAGAGGCTATATGGTCAATACATCAAACCTTTAGGACTCATGTCTTCTCTCACCACTGGTCAGGACACCCATCGGAAGTAACTACTTTGGAATCTGTTGTAACAAGACAGGAGCAAATATCAGAAATTCCTGTTCTGAGGAGTCTCCTGCCTTTGGTCTCTGGTCTGCAACTTGGGCAGGTCAGCCATACACCACCCCATAAGTACTGAGAACTTACAATCTAGCCCTATGTGTTTGTATAGCACCCAGCAAAATGGGACTTCAACCTGGCTGACATCTCTGGGTGCTACTGTATTTAATAATAAATAATAATAATAATAAATAAACAATAACAACAGCTCGTCCTCCACCCTTATCTGGCTGTAACAAGAATGCAGAAACATGGAGTGAACGATCTCTACTAGAAAGAAAATAGTCTATTTCAGACATCAGATAAGAATCTGCTGTCAAACACTGTAATGCTTTAGGAATTGGACAATTCTACAAATGTTTGCCACTATCAATTTGCTCATTCCTGACATGTTTACAGGCCACATGAAAAGGTCTGTGTTGCTTCAGATTGTCAGGCTCACCCCCTCTCTTGCTCTTTCTACACTCTCTATGGCTGACAGGAGGCGTCTCCGCTATCCTGACAGGCTCAGACATGGAATTTGGGAAACAGCAGAAGTTTTAAATTATATACATTATTGTGCAAAGTACAGGAAATTAAAACCAATTAATTCCTTGTAAATACAAATGGAACCAGACTTCCCTTTTGATTTATGCTGACGTTTTACCATCCCCCAATGGTGCATTCCCTATTGTGTTAGGGAATCCCGCACAACTAGAGTGAGTATCGCTACTACTAGCCGGTAATACAATACAGAAGACAAATGTGCAGAGACTGCTGATAAAAGAGAAAAGGCCACATGGTTGGTTCTTACAGGAGACGTATTAGGTGTCTTATAAAATAGCGTGTCTGTTCAGAGAGAGGACATTAATCACATCTTAGGTTCAGGACTGTGAAAGCATAGTAGTCTAGAGATGGACTAAACTGTAACATTCTTTCAAAGCCTAAATTCCTCCCTAGACAAGGGAGGAGAAGGAGGAGAGAGAGAGAAAGAGAGAGACTTTTTTTTCGTTCCACTGTACCTAAAAATCAATGAATATTCTATCAGAGCAGATAGAGCTTCTTGAAAGGCTAATGAGATGTAAGAAAATAACAGAAGTCCCAGCTAAATATATTCAAAATGCTAAATAAAAAAATGTCAGCAGAAGAAACGGAAAGTAAAACAACCCAACGCTGTGCTCCCAGAATGTTAAGTTAGTAGAAAAAACATGCATGTGAAAAGTTCTTTTGGGAGGCTAGAAAACTGAAAATGATTTTAGCTTGGAAAAAGGCACAGCTTAAGAAGAACTCAAGGCTCACCCAGGAAATGCCTCAAACCTCTGTGTGGGTTTCCAGCTAGCACTCCCAGCCCTAGACAGCACATACCCAAAACCTTCTAATTTCATCCACCATTCAGGAAAGAAAGAGATTTTTCCCCACAGTCACTCAGTGGAATTCACCCTGTGGAAAAAGTAGAACTTTAAGGTACTAATACTGTAAAGTCTCTCCCCAGTCAATGGCCATTTGCTTCATTTCACAAGTGCAAAAGACCTAAGTGCTGAGATGTAAAGCTGGCATCCTGACCACTTGTGACAATGATTCCCCCTTGACAATTACATTTTGAGACTAATCAGCCAGTTTTTAATCCATTTAATGTGGGCCATGTTAATTAAAAAATTGGAAATACATATATATGTGGCAGATTAGGTATTTCTCAACTATGGAGCTTGTCATACTGTTAAGTGTAGTAGCCGCTCCTCCTACACTAAGGCTACGTCTTCACTACGGCGGGCGGGGAGGGGTCAATTTAAGATACGTAAATTCGACGTATCCGAGCTGACTTACCCCGCTGTGAGAACGGCGGCAAATCGACCTCCGCGGCTCCCCCATCGACGGCGCTTACTCCTACCTGCGCTGGTGGAGTACGAGCGTCGATTCGGGGATCGATTGTCGCGTCCCGACGAGACGTGATAATTCAATCCCCGAGAGATCGATTTCTACCCGCCGATTCAGGCGGGTAGTGAAGACGTAGCCAGAGTTCTGTCATTCCCAAAGTGGTGTCTGTTACATCCTAATTATTAGGAGGCCTTTAATGAATAGTTAAAGAGCAGCATTAAAGCAAAGAACAAGCAGCTTTATTGCAAACATTCATCCTTCCTGGAGGACTATATAGAATGGACACTCCCTAATTGTCCTGTCCCAGTATATGCTGGGTCTTAAGACTTAAAGTCTTTAGAGATCTCCACTTCAACTGCTCCAAAATCCTGATCTGCCAGATAGAAGGAGATAATTCCAGAGCACACTGAGTTTATTATTAATGGGCCCCAATTGTGAAAGTCAGGTCCATGGGAGGACGGGTCATTGGAAATAGAAGAAAAAGAAGGCGAGGAGACCATGTTTCTCACACTCCAGTTCTCTGGTGGCTCACACAGAGGGCAAGGATAATGTCTTGGGTCCTTACTCAGAAACAACTTCTTTTTGTCTTCAGTGGGATTCACATTGGCACACAGCCAGTGGAAGTTTTGTCTGGAGTAAAAAAACAAAAAAAGTAAGGACCCAAGGATTCTGTCACAGATGAACTGGCTTCATACCACCTGATATTTCTTTATTTGAGTCTATTAAAAGTTATGGCTGCAAGGATTTTTAAATCATCTGTTCAGTGACCAAATAAATACCCATTGAGGCAGATGTGATGAAGACAAATATTGGTATAGTAGAAATAAAGGAGGCTTCTAGGGTTGGGGAGATTGTGGAATTGTAGAGAAAGCCAATGTTACCTGTGAATAATAATATGAGTGGGTTTCTTTACTCTGATAAAACAATATCTTGTGGCTTTGATTGCAGACAGAGGGAAAGCATCCCATGCGTGCATATCAGTCTGCATGGAGAGCGGTCTCACTTGATTACAAGTTAGCTTCATTAGCCTGAACGCATTAACTAATTCTACACATCATTTTAGTTAATTACTGATTGTGTAGTTCTCAGTACACTCAGGGCCAAACTGCGAAAGGCTATATAGTGGCAGGCACTGGACACACAGTTACCCAATTTGCAAGCAATTTCAGGCTTCTGGGGATGCATTTTTCTGGCTCATCCCATTGCGTTGGTCTTTGAAATTTGGCCCTCGAGGTGAAAACAAGCAGCCAAAAATCCTCTCAGTTGTGCTTTCATTCCAAATGTGTTTTCGCTTTCCCCTAGATGTGCCATCGGGTCTGCACACGGAGCCACAGATCACCACCATCATGGGGAGTGATGTTCAGCTGACCTGCAGAGCCTCCAGATACATTTACGATCACCTGGCATGGTACTACCCTTCCTCACAGGTGGTGCCCGCCAGCTTCATGCAGGAGCAAATTGACAGATACTCCATTTCCTTGACACTGGCCGTTAGTAATGTCACAGAGGAACACGCCGGGCAGTACAAGTGCATCGCTCAGAATCGGCACAACAGCACGGAAGTGCGAGAAGAGGACACCCAGCTCGACGTTAAAGGTAGGCCTGGTTGTCTGAAAACAACAACTCAAGGTACTATGAGCAGGGTGTTGAGCATCTGCCATGCCTGCTGATGTCCTTGGGAGTGGCAGGTGCTCAGGATCAGTCTCTATACGTAGGTATTGCCTGTATGGATTTTTCTGTTGTGTTAACAGTTGACTACAATGACCTCTATACATGTAGCACCTTTTATCAGAAAGGATCCCAAATGGCTTTACAAATCTCTAAGACCTGATTTACAAACTGTGGGCCAAATCCTGAGCTGGTGTAGATCATCATAGCTCCATTGCATTCGATCGAGCGACACTGATTTCCATCAATTGCGACATGGCCCTGTACATACAGGAATCACTTAGGCCATCTGCTCCACCTTCCTGACATGCTGCAGCTATTTGTCAGTGCACAGCAGTGCCTAAGCACCATAGCTTAGGATAGGTTGGCCACTTGAGACAACAAGGGAGAATTGGTTAAGGCTGGCGTTTGTAGTACTGAAAGTGGCGTTTGACCAGAGCACCAGCCCCATTCCTATGAAAAGTGCTGTGGAATCTTCAGTCACCACATGCAGCAACTCCAGTAGCAGCATGTCCCCCTAACACCACGCTGGGGCATTAGTTTAGTGCGGACTCAGAGGAACGAGCACCACCTACTATATTGCCAACCCACCAGCATGTCCCTTGAGTGGCCCATCCAATGTCTGTCATGCTTTGGTAAAACATCCAATGAGATCACATACCATGATGATTACCATGGTTACATGTAACGTTAACAAGATTTAGACCCGTCAAATATAATTGCAAAGGACATTGGCAGGAGCATGGAACTGAAGCATATTCACTCTTTACATTTAAAGCAATAGCAGGTTTTTCTTTTCTGTATCTAGACTCCAAGAACCCATCTCTTTAAATTTAGTGTCAACAATAAATATTACAGAGCTCAGTGTCCTTGCTATCTGTGGATATCTAAAGACAACAGGCTGGAATCTTGTCCCAGTTTTACACCAGTGTAAGCCCACTAATTTCAGTGGAGTATCTCCTGATTTATACTGGTGTGAGTATGGGCAATCAGGCCTAAGACTTCTAAGAAGTAGGAGATGCCAGTAGAAGGGCTGTGAGGCCCCAGGTATTCTCAGCTGTCTTCTACTGGAGAACAAAAAGCACCGCACAGAAGTGGAGGATGGGGGAGACCCTAAATAAACAGTAGCTACCCATGTAGCAGGGAGCAAAGTCCCTTATAGGAAGTTTGACTGTGATTCCTAAGTTGGGTTCTGCACTTAGATTACTGGGTGAGTAGGCACTAGACAGACAGACAGGGACAGACACGGGGCCGCCCAGAGGATTCAGGGGGCCTGGGGCAAAGCAATTTCGGGGGCCTCTTCCATAAAAAAAAGTTGCAATACTATAGAATAGTATATTCTCGTGGGGGCCCCTGTGGGGCCTGGGGCAAATTGCCCCACTTGCCCCCCCCCCAGGCGGCCCTGGACAGACATGCTGCAGTAAGCCCCTGCCTCTCAGATTAGGACCAGCCCATACTGTGCTAGCTATAGTCATATTTAAGTACAGCTGTTACTAGCAGTTTCAATGCAATGTCCTTCATGAGTGCAGACAGAGACATTATCATGAGATTCACACACACACACACACACACACACACACACAGAAAATCCTCACCCACACTGTAGCTGTAGCTAGCACTGTTCTGATGCCTGCGTGGGCAGTGCCTTGGTGACTTATTAAAACAATAAATCAATGCATCGCTCTTCTCTTTCCAATGGCCCAAGGGAGGAAAGGGACTCTGACTCCTTCTGTCATTCTCTGTACTGGCCTTGCACCCATAACTAGTGTCCCTACCACCTTTCAGAACAACCAGACATGGAGGCACCGAGTCCTTTTCTGCACATTGCATTCAAGCAATTCACTTTCTTTTACCCTTGCAGATATTTTTGTTCACTTAGTCAGATTTCCACCTACACAGACACCTACACACAGTGGCAGAGGGGGCAGGGGGAACAACAGCTTGGCTATTAGTACACATACAGAAGAGCTGGGATTTTGAACATGTCCTTCTGTGAGTTACCAGTTTCTTCTTCTTTGTCTGTAGTGGCTGGGAGGCAATTCATCCTGAGAGCATGCTACATGAACACACTTTCTCCCAAAACATTTCTCCTTCCACCATATAAAACCAGCCATGAAGCCTTTCAATATCTCTTTCCGATTCTGCATGTATTGGATCTTCCTCTTTATCCTATGCGCACTGGCTATTCTCCATGTTTCAGGCTGTTTTTTACAGTGTGCTCTGGGCTTTGTTCTCTGGGGCCTTGCACCTTTTGTAGTCATTGACACCAGTGTAAAATGAATACAAAGTGTGGGTAAAACGCCTCCGTTCTGAACTTTGCAGTGGTGTAAATGACCGCACACAAGGTACTAGGCAACAGAGAAGCCTAGCATTTTCCTCTCTTTTCTTTGCTCCTTTCTTTATGCTCCCTTTGTGTGCTTTTGCTCTGCCCCCAACCTGATCCTTTGTTTGTTCACAGGGACTAAGTAACATTCAACTCTGAGTTTTTGCTCACCACACACCTTTTCCATTAATAAACCTTTGCTGCAGCCAACACATTAGGACAAGGCCTTTATATGCCGATGAAAATGTAAGTCTCTAGAAGATGCCTCCTTAAGGCCCAGTCTACACTATAGTTTTACACTGGTATAACTACATCGCTCAGGGGTGTGAGCAATGCAGTTATACCCCTGAGCAATGCAGTTATACCGACCAAACCCCCAGTGTAGACAGTGCTATGTTGACAGAAAGGCCTCTCCCGTCAACATAGCTAGCACCTCCAATTAACTACGGTCATGGCAGAAGTTCTCCCGTAGCATCTTCGCTGAAGCGCCACCGGTGCAGTTGTGCCGCTGTCGCATTTTAAGTATAGACCTGCCCTCAGACTGGTTGTGTGTTGTTTTCCTTTGTGAATGCAGCAAAGGCAGTGCCATATATTATGCAGAACCTCACGGACCGAGAGGTTAACATCAGTGGCAAGATCATTCTGGAGTGCAAAGTAAATGGAACCCCAACACCTCAGATTGCGTGGCGGAAAAATGGCTATCCCATTTCACCTGCTTCAGGTGAGTGTGGAGAAATGCTGCACAACAGGTGCTGAATCGTTACGTGTTTACAGGTTTGCAAGCCGTGTCGGTCCCGGATTCTCCACTGCCTGGCATTTGGTGGAGTTGTTAACAGCAGTGCGTGATGAGTGCCAAATGCTACCAACCCAGGCTGCTGTAAATGACTCAGACTGCATTATCTATACCTGACTGCTGATGTGGTTTGCAAATGGGATTACAGAGGCCAAAACAGCCAACTAGCTTCAAACCAGTGCTTGATTGTACATGCCCAGTTTTGCACATGCCACTGCTTGTGCCTGCGGAATTGGCCACACATGTGCAGAACTGACACTGGCAAGGGAAACCAAGGTGCTGAGCACCTAGCTGCCCACTAGGCATGTCCAAGATGGTTCTTTATGTGTACAAAAAGCAGAGCGTTTTGCCACTTGCTAAGCAGTATCTAAAAATATGAGCCTGAACTGCTAGATGTTCTTAAGGCCTGATCCGGAGCCAGTTGAAGTCAATGGTAGTGTCTCCACTAAGGATCACTTAGCTGGCTGCGGGGCATAATACACTGTGTCTTTATTTCCCTCGGCATAAAACAGTGATGAGAAACAGCTGTCAGCTCAGCCAACACACACACGTGCAGTGCTGCCACAGGCTTGGAATGTTTGCCTGAGCTTGGAACTCTTTCCAGGCCCCTCTATCCTGAGATACCCTTTATGTCATGGAGAAACCAGTGTTAGTAACTGGTCCTCTCACTTTAATTTTGCTTCTTGGGTTAGGAAATCTAGAATCCTCCATAACTCAGATCAGACCGTTCTGAGCAGAAGCTCTTAACAGCTAGTGAAGTTTTATAAATAATTCTAGAGGGACAAGCATGTAACTCATCCAACCGATGGACACATACATAATATATCTGAAAAAAACACCTCAGGGTAAATATTTCAGAGCTGTGCATGGTGAGTTATGTGCACAGTTCTTGTTAACAACAACAGAATTCATGGGCAGAACACACTGCAAACATAAAACCTTTGGACTCAAGGCCCAGTGTATTTCCCCTGCTCTGTTAATGGCATCTTCTTAGTAAAACAAATGAGCTTGGAATCGTGTGTCACCAAATCAGAGAAAGTGAAGCTAGCAAAGGCTCAGTTAGGCCACATGTAGGTCATCTCCTCCCCCATGAATGCAAGATTGAGCCAAATAGTGGGTTCTTCAGGGCTTTGTCCCCATTTTAAATGTCCCAAGAGATGGGGTGCTCATCATTTCCCTTGGGAGGCAGTGCTGCAGTCTTAGACATTACTGTCTCACTGACATTTGACCCCATTTTCCTTTCCTTCATTGTATCCCGTTATGCCCTGGCCATGCCACCTTGAATCAATCTACATAATTCCTTTCCCTACTGAGCGCTACATTGTGCCAGGTAGGCACAGCCCTGCACAGAGGAGGAGAGGGGTCACTGCTTGGAGAGGCATTGTGCCTTAGCGGGCAAAATGGTCCCTCCCAAGCTCCAGATGTGTGGGGGAGACTCAGCTTGAATTCCTTGCCCAGTGAGGCGCAGCCCCTCTGTGCCCCTCTGACCTGGTCTAAAAAGCATTTTGGGTTAGTAAGAGAGTCATATTTAATATGTTCTAATGACATCTCCCCAAATCCAGTGCAACTCTTGGGCTAGGAAGGGGAGAGGCAAATCCTGCTGGGAGTTTTGCAGGTGTAACGGAGAACAGCATTTGTCCCAGTGAGCTCATTCTGGGCCCAGTCATGCCCCCATTGCCTTCCATGGGAGCACTATCAGGCTGCATGAATAAATTACACCTGTTCTGCACAGGCTGCAAAGTTGTGACTGTGGAGTTAACATGACAAGTGCATTGAGAGCAGGTGGCCAGGGAGGGGTTTGCAGCACGCCGCCGCAAACAAAGGTGAATACAACATGCAGCACTAGAAGGTCTCTTGTGGCTGCTACTGGAGGTACCAGAGCAGGGCTGCGGTGGCCAGTGAGCCCATTTTCAACACAGCTCCTTTTGGACATTCTTTCTTGGCAAATATATTCTGCAATGAAATGAAACTATATCCCCCAACACAGGAATTTCCATGGAAAATAACACCCTGGTCATCGAACGAGTGAAAAAAGACGATGAAGGACTCTATGAATGTAGGGCTTCCAATGAAATGGGCAATGACAGCACATCAGCATTTATTAAAATACAAGGTGAGTTCACAAGCTCATGCACAAGCTTAGTGAAACGGGCTTAGTTTTGGGGGAAGACATTATACAGTCCCACACACACACTCCTAACCCACCTCCCCACACACACACAAACACCGGGCAGGCTTGGATAAAGTGGGAACTGACTTAATCCCTTGCTCAAAACTCAAACTGAATCCCCTTTGAGGTTCCAGGAAGTTTACATGGTCACATAAAGACGTAGGATCTGAAGCAGGTCAATATATCTTCATGTCTGGAACACCTTGATAACAACTCTATCACAGACACAACATATGCTACACAAAGTGAGATATGGTCAATATAACTTGAATGTTTCATGGGGAATCATATAATACAGAGGTTCTCAGCCTTTTCACACTGGAATCTCCTTAAGTTCCCCTCCTATTTAGCCAAGAGTTAGCTGGGACCATCTTCCAATTAGCCATAGGAAAAGAATAGAGTGATTGCAACCCCTGACACCTGTTCATGATCCCTAGGTTGAGAACCATAGTGCAGTACTTTGATCACTTGGCATTGATAAGATAAAGTAATGGTACTTAGTGGATATCCTGCACACCTCTGCCAAACCATTGTCTCTGTGTCTCTTGGTTAGAGATGGTGTGCTATATTACTGCCTAGAGCAAGTGAATGAAAAGTTTCCCACCACATGTCATGGCATTTCATGGCTACCATTTTTCTGAAATGAAGCATGGTTGATGGAATTACAAGTTTTATTTATTTATTTATTTATTTATAATTTTATTTTTGCACTGAATGTAAAATCTGATGCGTTTGATTTACAGGCTCTGAAGAAAAATCCAATATTGAAGTTATCATTTTGGTCTGCACTGGTCTAGCAGCTACCCTTTTTTGGCTTCTTCTGACCCTTTTCATTCGGAAACTGAGAAAAGTAAGAGAGCTTCCATATTGTACATGGAATTGAAATGGGCTAGAGCTGAGCTCTGGGCTTGGATCCAGTTAAGACTAAGCATCAGAGTTCAGGATTGAGGTCGACCTGGGACAGATGGTGACAAAACGGTATGAGCTGTTCTCGTGAAATTTCAGGCCAACGTTCCTCTTGATTAATTACTTGACATCTTATGAGATCAGCTGTACATATGAGATTTCTGCCATCTTGGTCAGCATCCAATCAGATCAGGAAAACAGGCCCCTTTCTCTTGTGGATCTGACATGAATTCAGAAGCATCCAAGAATGTTTGGAGACAGGCATTCAAATCCTAACCACCCTACAGTGATGTTCTAGTTACAGCCCATCTCAAATAAGGTTTTCCCTAAAATGTAGTTGGTGAAGGGAGCGCTGGTTTAAATATTGTCGTAGGATGTTAAAATCTGTTGTTTGCTCTAGAGCTGGGCCCAAACCACAAAAGTTCATTATGTTTCCATGGCTCATTTACTCCTTGGCCTCTCTCCTGAGACTCCAAAGAAGTGGGCCCTAAGTTAGGTCCAAGGAGTATTTGATAAAGTAAATCATATTTAGGTTTGTTCTTTCTTGCTTATACAAACAAAAAATATGGTACAAGATATTAGATCTCTTGTCTGGATGCAGCCCAAACCACAGTCTTAATGTTGATCATCTGTAATTTGTATGAATGTTCACCACATTTACAATAGAACTGGGAAGAATCATTCAAGTTCAAGTTTACTCTGTCTCTCTCCAGGACAGCAGAGGTGCTAGACCCAATAGATCTTGTGTCATCATTTACACCTGCATAAAGTGGGCATAAGGGGAGCTCAAATCAGACTTTTCCCCTCAGTGGAACCATTTTTCATCAGCTCAGCACCCATTTTAATCAGAGTAAATGGGAATACAAGGGGCAGCATCACAGAGAATCAAGCCCCATATTGACATGTAAGCCTGTTTCTAAAGCGCAATGCCTTGAGCTGTTCAGGAATTGGAGAGCTGTCCAACAAGGCACTCAGAAATGTAGCTTTAATCTCAAGGATTTCCCACAAGTAGTAGCAGTGTTGGGTTTCTCTAATGTATGTAGAGACTAATAATATTAAGGGACTTTACATCTTCAAGGGATTTTACAAGGGATTAATTAGTTAATCCACTCAACACCCACGTAAGGCCAGCATAGATAAGTATTATTTTCCCCATTTTACGGATGAATAAATTGAGGCATGGTGTTGACGAGACATGGTCAAAAGCCACAGATGGGAGTGAGTGTCAGAACTAGGACGAGAACTCAGAGATGCCAGGCGCCCAAGCCTGTGCAAATTCCACTAGATCACACCTTTCTCTCAAGTTACAGCCTGTGAATTGGTTATTTTCCTGTTTTTAGCCTGATGCCACAGATATTAAAACGGGATACCTGTCAATCATAATGGATCCAGAGGAAATGCCCCTTGATGAGCAGTGTGACCGTCTGCCATACGACAGTAGTAAATGGGAGTTCCCAAGAGACAGGCTGCGGCTTGGTAAGCAATACAGAGGCATTATTAATGTCAAGGATGGTGATATCCTATGGCCCTGAATGTTGGACCACAGCAGATGACAGAGGCTACCCATGTCCTCCCTGGCCAGGGCTCTTCCATCCTTGGAGAAGAATTGACAGTGGTTCCACAGTCAAGGATTGTTCTCCATGGGAGTGATGCTAAAGGTGCCCTTAGAAAATACAGACGCCATCTTGCGAAATGGCTATCACCTGCCGTTGTTCTCAGTGGAAGTGAAACCAAGGTGTCCCCAGGGAAGTCAGTGTCCCTTGGCAGTATTGGAAGCCACCCTCTTCCTCCAGGGAAAGATGGCAAACATTTTGAAAGAAGGCAGGTCTTCATGAAGTTCTTCTGTAGAAGAACGTTATTCACCTTGTTGACGGAAAACAACTTTCCATTAAGAGAAACGATGACAAAAAAATGACGATTAATGTTTAAAATTATTTTCAGAACCTACCATTTGAACAAAATCTACTCAACAGGAGAGGGGGCGAGAATCCTGGGGGCCAGCAGGGGAATTTAGAGACTAGGAGGGATGGGAAAACTGGGCGGGGGGGGGCATGTGGCGGCAGAGGGAGGGGGAAATGGTGTGTGTTCAGGGAAGTGTAGGGGTAGGCGAGGGGGTGCAGAGGAATGTGAGCGGCAGGAGCTGGGGGAAACTGGCCAGTTTGCTCTGCCTGCTTAGTGCAGCTCCAGAGTGGGGGAAGCAGCCAGAGTGTCCTGGTGAAAATGGCCCTAACCGTTCAAATCAAATAAAGATTGAAAGGTGCACACTATATATCTTCTAGTCCAGTGGGTCTCAAACTTTTGTACCGGTGACCCCTTTCACATAGCAAGCCTCTGAGTGCGACCCCCGCTTCTAAATGAAAAACACTTTTTAAATATATTTAACACCATTATAAATGCTGGAGGCAAAGCGGGGTTTAGGGTGAAGCCTGACAGCTTGCGACCCCCCCATGTAATAACCTTGTGACCCCCTGAGGGGTCCTGACCCCGAGTTTGAGAACCCCTATTCTAGTCACTAGGGGGAAAACCCAAATGGGAACATTTTCTTTATGTTTCTTGTCTAGTGTTCATGTCTGACATTTTCAATAATTCAAAACAAGCAGCAAGGACACTTCCAGATAAAAGCTACATGGCAGCGAAGTTAAAGTTGAGTACATGTCAATAACTGCAGGGTGGAAGAGTGGAAGTTCTTTAGGTGCCTTCACTGTGCATTTCCGTTCTTAACATCTTTGGATTTCTCCTTCAACCTGAACTCTGGGTTGGGAAGGGTTGATCTGGGGATAATTGCACGTAATGTTTTTACCTTTCGGTTATGTCAGCCTCAACTCCAGTTTAAAGCCATTTTTAGCTGGGAAGTATATTACATACTGTATCACATGCAGATCATATGTATATACATCTATTATTGACTATTCATCTGTGCTGTGTCTGGACTCTGGTGTCCTATATTTTGTGCACAGCTAAGATTCATGCATGTTTCTCTCTTAGCTGATGCAGACTGTCCTCAGTCCCCTATGGCTCATTCTTGACTCTTGCTTCTCTAGGTAAAACACTGGGTCATGGTGCTTTTGGGAAGGTCGTGGAGGCATCTGCTTTCGGTATCGATAAATCTTCAACCTGCAAAACAGTCGCCGTTAAAATGCTTAAAGGTACATTTCTCTGAGAGCTTCTCAGACAGTTCCTCTGGACGTACATGGGTAACAAGGTTTGCAGTGCTCAGCTCTAAACCAGTCCCGAGGGCATTGTGTTTGGAAGGGAGTGGGTTTGCCACATGGGAACAATTAGTTACCATACAGGGGATGTCAACGTGTGGGAAATGACAAGTGGGCTCCACGCTATGCTGCTGATGTAGCCTTGTATTCCTAGAGGAGGGAAACGGCAGCCTCCATGTCTGTGGGGTTAGGAGGGAAACAGATTACAGAATGTAATTGCATTAGTCTGAAATTGTATCGAAACCATCGATCCCAGCCCTTCCAGATGTGGAACAGTTCAAGGGGGTGAAAAGGAGCGCTGCCAAGGGAGTGAATTAGGGACAACTTTCTTGCAGTTATTAAAATGAAGGAATGCTTTTACCATCCAGCAGGGAGGAGGAGGGAAGGGGGCTGGTGAACTTGGAGCATATGTTGTTTCCAAATGACATTTACATACAAAGCCTCTGCAGACAGTTTGTGAATAAATACATCATCTGGCATGTTGGGTGCATGGGTTTGTGGGTTTTAACTGGTCACTTGGGTTCTTTTCAAATACACAAGTGATTTTCTTTGGGTGGGGCTACACTCGCTGGCCCAAACTGCTGGATAGCGTTGCTGTGTGATAGTGTTAACCTCTTCAGCTCCACAATGCAGGATCTTCGCTTAGATCACAGCAATGTGGCTTTTGTTGCCAGCTGCCTCTCCTGCTCCTCTACTACCCACCCCTCCCCCAGTGCCAGATCTCCTCTGCTTGCCAGTACCACCTTTCTGTACCTTCTCTGGACCTGCATTAGGCCAATGGGGTCTTCAGATCCCCCCACCTCTCTCTCTGCTGTTGTTTGTCCCACTCTACACCCCTCTCCAAGACCTAACCTGAAGTTCCCAAAGGCCCTTGATTGACCCAACTCTCCCCTGGCTCCTCCACCCCCCACAATTTTCCCCAGGCTGCCTCCCAGCTAACCCTGCCCAATAAGTCTTCCGGCAGTGCCTTACACCTTCCTCCTGGCTGCTGCTGCATCCTTCTTGCTTCAATCATGGCCCCCCCATCACCACCCAAAATGCCATCCCCACCGTGAATGCAGCCAGCAATAAACTAGAACCTCTGGTGAGAATCTATTCATTCAGAAAAGAGAACGCCCTAGAGGTGGCAGCATTACAATGATTCCACCATATATATAAATTCCATGAAGCTTGTTGGTATCTTCTTTAAAATGGAAGGCAGTATGTAAATGTAATAGATTGTCATAAAGAATTTCAGATGATGTTCAATTTAAATATTACTGGGCCTGGTTCCCATCTCAAAGCCGGGTAAATCAGGTTGAACTCCACTGAAGTCAATGGAGTTAAAACTGGTGCCTGCTGAAGGAGACTCAGGCTTGGAGTACTTATCACTTTATGAGGCATAAGGAATGCCAAGATGCTGGGAAATCTGTTCATGGACAATTCTGCAACCAGAAAAAGAGGCAAAGTTTGTCAGAATAAATGATTTGTTATAAGTTATTTACTCAGCTCTAAAGCTAACCCCCAACAGTCACACAAACAGACTGTGCACAGTGGCAGAAAACATGCAACAACCCGGCATTATCCACCCCATTTTGTTTTGTTTGTTTTAATCATGAAAGTGATACAAAGATGATAGTAGAAAATCACTAGTTAAAGTCCCAACCATATGGAAAATATATGGTGTCAGCAGTGGGATCAACACTGAGAAAATGTCCATGTAACTCAGCCAAGGCCTAGTACTCAGGAGCTATGGTCCCTCCCCTGACTTTGTGAAGTACAGCAGAATCTTGTTAGTCTGTGTTTCACAAAGCCGTATACTTTACAACTCACACACAGACATGGCCACTCTTCTCATTTGTTAGGGATGATTTAATACCCGTGACAGCACTGTAGTGAGGTCTCATATAACTGAGACTTGGTTATTTTATAAAAAGTACTGGAGTACACTGAGTAGCACACTACGGGGCCTGACTTTCAGATGTGAGAGCAACTAGAGCTCCCATTACTTGGAGTGGTGAGAGCTGAGCACCTCTGAAAAGTAGATCCTGTGAAGTATTATTGCAAAGAGTTGCTACTAAACTACAATCACCAACAAGCATGGAAAAAAACATTTTTTCTTGCATTATCTCCTTGCCTTTTTGGATGTGTTTGTTCACTTGCTAAATTTGCAATATTTAGTTCTTTGCAAAGGTTCTCCCAGTATCTAGCTGGCATTAGAGAGGTTCTACTGCAGGATAATAACCCACTGTGACCCACTGCAGAGAAGGCAAGAGGCACCGAAAGGGAAAAGTGTTAATCCATTGCAGAAGGGTCACAGCAAGCGGATGAGTTCTTATCTATTTAGGAGTCTGAGAGGCACAGATAGCACAAGTAACCTGGGTGGGTTTTGTTTTCAAGTATAAACAGGATTTTCTGGGTCCTGTTACAAATATCCTGTTGTGTAAAGATGGCTTTGTCCTGTTTATCTTAAGCAGAATGTGCAACTACAAATGAGTGCAAGGCTTTAATGTCCGAGCTGAAGATCCTCATCCACATAGGACACCATCTGAACGTGGTCAACCTGCTGGGAGCCTGCACCAAAGCAGGAGGTGAGAAACCATCCTCCCACAAAGCATTCAGCAAATCCATGCTCAGTAATTGCAGTCGGTTGCAATAGCAATTCTGCAGCCATGTCATCTTCACGGTCATCAGCAGGGACAGAACAAAGGATATTCTGCTTCAGAAACATAGGCCCTTACTCCTCAAGCAAAAAGGAGAATCTTCATCAGCTATTAGGGCTCATGTCCTGTGGGAGGGTCTCCATTACTGGGTGTTATTACCGCACACATATGCATGTCTAACTTTCCAATCAAGAGGGGGCCAGCAGTGTACACACGAGCTGGTGCCCAGTACAATACAATGTAACCTGGTAGCTGCCACTGAAGTTGTATGGGGGCAGAATTTGACAATGATGGCTTTTGAATTTCTTCCTAACATATACCTTCCCTTCATTTTCTCTACTTTTCTACTATCTAAGGTACTTATATGGCCCAATATCTGAGCACCTCACAACCTTTTATGTATCTAGCCTCACAACACCCCTGTGAGGTTGGGAAGTACTAATATCTCCATTTTACAGAAAGGAATATGAGGCACAGAAAGTCTAAGCGGCTTGCCCAAGGTCACACAAAGAGTCTGTGACAGAGCAGGGACTTGACCCCAGGTCTCCAGGATCCTAGCCTATGGCCTAACCACTGGAGCATCCTTCCCCTTCTTAGCCTGCCCTTTAAAACAGTGCTGGCTCTCTTTGCTTTATGCTTTTAATTTCAGTGTAACATCTACCATCGATGCATCTTCAGTGTTTGGAGATTATTTTCAAGGTTCATCATAAAGGATGGGGGACAAGGGTTGAGGGCAAAGAAACCAGGGTAAAATAAATGGAGACAGAGAGATGGTGCCCACATTGGTAACTGTCTGAGGCATTAAAGATATCATTTTCCCAAGGGACATCTAGTCACCAAGCCAAAGGGAAAAAAGCAATGTTACTAAGGTAGTTGGCAGGCTGACAGGAGATAAATTATCCCCCAAACCAGACGTTTACAGTTCACAGTAGAACAGGCAGGAGACAGCAAGTAGCAGACCCTGTCCTAATCTGGAAGCCAGAGATTTGGAATCTGCAGGAGCACTGAGGCAAGAGACCAGTAGCTTTGCAAATCACATCTGACTGGACAGCCACATTGATCTGAAATGTTTCAAGGATTCAGAGGAACTGGCAAGCAATCCCTGACGCTGGACTGCTGACCTGTGATTAATGGGGGAGGGAAGTTGTGAGCCATGGTGGTAATGCCTCCTACCAAATCAAGCCCAGAAAACTGAGAAACAATACTTAGTAAAATGTCAGTGTGGTGGCTTGTCATAACCAGACGCCCAGAACAGTCTAATGCAACTGTAGCCACTAACCATTAACCTGAAAACTAATATGACCCTAATGTTTGCACCTTATTGAGTTCTCATCATAGCAAGGTCCATCTAAGTGAACATGATCCTTCGCCTATTATGACTACCCATGCTTGAATGTACTTGTCCCCAGCTGGTCCTCAGTATCCCTCTTGGAGCATCCAATAGTCTCTTTCCCTCCCCTGCATCCTTCTGGGTGAATAGGCCCTTTTAGTGCTACTTTACTAGCTGCCCAAAGAAGTCACTGCTAAAACCTGGGGAAGCAAGAGACTGGGTGTGGAAGCCAGGTTTCCCATATGGCGTTACAGAGCGCTAACTGCATAGCCTACAAGCAAGCTCTAGTTTGTTTGCTTTTGAACGATGCCAGTGGAGACTGAAGAAAAATAGCCTAGAGCTCACAAGATAGACATTGGGATAAGAGTTTCCATTAAAATACCATTTCTAAGTACAGGGCTTTCTCATTCCTTGTTAAGTTTTATATAGCTTGTAATAGTACTCTTGATCATTGCTCCCATTAAACATGCACAATACATTATTTTAACAATATCTGCCCCTTGCAACGTCGCTTTGAAACACCTTGTCAGAGCATCTGATGTTAAGCAGTTAGCACTAATGCATGCTCTAATATGCTTTATAATAAGGAACTAAAATATGAGGATGCTGCGTCTAGGAAACATTTCAGAGGCATGAATAAAGCACTTAGTGGCACTTTAAAGTCATGCCGGAATCTCCATTTCCTCTGAGAATCCACTAGCCAGATCTGACTTTAGTTTCTTGAGACAATGTTCCAGTTGATCTTTTCTTTGCACTGTAAGAAGCCAGCACTGGTTTGGGGAAGTAATCTAATGATGTGGAGCACTGTGGTGGAGGCAGCATGGTGACACAGAAGAGACAGTAAAGACCAGTGGCAGAATCAGAGATGCGTTGCATAGCTATAGTCACCTGGATCTCTCCCAGCTAGCAGACTTCAGAGCAGCTGACTGCTTGCTGCAGTGTGTCAGTTCCTGTTCTCAGAGTAGCAGCCGTGTTAGTCTGTATCCGCAAAAAGAACAGGAGTACTTGTGGCACCTTAGAGACTAACAAATTTATTAGAGCATAAGCTTCCTGTTCTGACTGCTTCTCAGTCATAGCCCTCCAGCCCACACCCCCTTTAGACAGGCTGTGGAGGTGACGTTGACATCCACATTAGATCAGCTGGCACCTCCACCACAGAGGTGACTGCATTTATGCAAAGAGTGGTGCTGTGTATATATAATACTGTATGAACCTTGGGCTTGATTTTCAAAGGTGCTGAGCACCCACAGCTGCAACTGAAGTCAATGGGAGAAGCAGGTACTGAGCAGGCCCATGGCCTACAGTGCATACATGGTAGCCCTTTAGGATCCTTACAACTGAAAGGCCCTATAGAAATATACAGTGATATTTATAGTTAAGTAAAAAACCTCGTCTTCTCCCCTTTATCTGGGTTACCCTTGGGAGCCAAAAAATCTTACTGTGTTATAGGTGACCGCATTATATCGAACTTGGTTTGATCCACAGGAGTGCGCAGCCCCGCCCCCCTGGAGCGCTGCTTTACCACGTTATATCTGAATTCGTGTTATATCGGGTCACGTTATATTGGGGTAGAGGTGTATGTGTTTGTATTGCCTCCACTGGCATGAAGTCCTGTACAAAAAGATTTACACTGAGATCAGAAAACCCAGAGGGCTCTTCCACAAAATGGATCCCAACAGAAAAAAAAAGAATTTAGTAATATGGGGGATTGTATGTTCTGGTCTATCCTCTTTAATGTTCCTGTTTCTAGAAATGAGAAACAATTTCCTAATATTGTTGTCTGACAGGTAAAGAGGGAGGTAGTAGCTAGGACTCCTGGGTTCTATTCTCAGTTTCCCACCTCAGCCACTGCCTTATGGTGTGAGCCTGGAAAACCACTTCACTTCTTTATTCCCCAGTTTCCTCGTCTGTATAATGGGGCTGATAATATTTACCTACTTCACCAGGGAAATCATGGGGCTGAATTAACATTAAACACTTTGTCCTTCTCTAGACCCTTTCCATGGCAGGAATGCAGAAATGCACTATGTATATGTTCCACTTTTACATCTGTGAAGGTCACTTTGCTTTTGTTCTCTTTGCAGGTCCTTTGATGGTTATTGTAGAATATTGCAAATATGGAAATCTGTCTAATTACCTGAGAGGAAAACGAGGGGACTTTGTTGCATATAAGGTAAAATAAACAACTGGCTTTTTATGCAGTTGCAAGATGGGCAATTCATGATCACTGAGGCTAGCTGCTTACAATTCGGATTTGTTCTCTACTTGCCATAGAGGGGCCTCAGTTATATCTGAATGCTGGCGCTTCATCAGCCCACCAAATTCCAACTTGTGAGAGGAGAAGGAAGAATGGACTCCTTCCTCTGTAGGATCTCAGTCCCTTCCTCATCCTCACCTCAAGCCCATACTGCATAATCAATTGCAAATGCTCATGGAAACAGCACATTCATCATTATGTGACTTGGAGGAGAAAAGAACTGCTCTGATTCCACTTCCTCACCACCAGCCACTAGCTACTTGAAAGAGCAGTGGATGGTCTCTGTACATTAGGTATGAAAACACTGGTTCCCCAATCCCATCTCCCTCCTCAGCAGCTCACTGGTCTTGTTGTCCCACAGACGGCTGCACAGATTAGCCACCAGAACTGTTACGGGAGAGGTGAGGTCAGTCCCCTCTTTCCACGAGAAGACTAAATACAACACTCAGATAGCAGCTTTGGGAGCCTGGTTGTTTCAAATCTCAGTCTGTCTAAAAACAGGGACCACTGATTCAAATCCTAGCAGGATCAGTGCAGCCTTTGATCCTTCCCAGGTACGATGCAGGTTATTGTGTGTGGGTTTTCCAGATGTCTCTAATATTTGTGGTCACATCTGCTCTTCATGGACACTAAAGCACATATGGTAACTGTAGCTAATCAGTTCATTTTATTATCCATTTATTGTTGTGCTGTGTGATGTTATGATTAACTCATATGCTATATTACATATAGTTCATGTATGCTAAATAGGTTTAGGTTGTAGGATCATAGAAGAATAAGATTATTAAGTATTTAGGAGTGATAAGTATTTATTGTGTGTCTAAGTAAAGCCGGGCTAAAACGCAAGGCCTCCAGGTAGGGCCTGTAAGATTTCAGCTTAGCCATACTAGGCCATAGACTTAAGAATGCTTGACATATGTAAGTGACCAGAGAATGACTCTATGCCAGTAAGATCACAAGACTACTGGAAAGATGTACCAACAGGTAATGTGGCGGAAAATCAACCACAAGATCATGCAACATCTTTTACAACATGTGTCCTGACTGCAGGGTACATGTTGTGTGTAGATGCTAATGAGAATAAGAGGAATTACAGCCAATCTATGAAAAATAGGGCATCCCAATATTCATGGGGTGTGGAAATATATATAAGGAAAAAGAGAGTTGACACCTTCATGCACATGCATAGAGTGTTCGGTATAGTCAAAATTACAATATAAAAGAGGATTCCGTGGTTAGATAAAAATGGGAAGACCCAAGAGACAACCCCACAGGAACCCCAGCAGGAACTCTCCCTTTGAGAGGTCCATCGGACCCTAGAATATCTCTGGGGATGACTATGGTTATAATTATTGCATAGGTTTTTGTAGGATTTCTATATGCAGGGGTAATCATCACCTTGCTTGTGACTTTAATAAAACTTATAGTACAGATAAAACTTTGTGCGTGTGATTGTATATGTGGTCATTATCCTTGAACTTTGTGTGTTCCTAGAGCCTCCTAATTTGAGAAAAGCACCAGAGGCAATTTCACTCTGTTGAGCTTGAAACTGTAGCAACCGGAGCCAAACCCATGGCGGTGTAATACCACATTACTAAATTCACTTTAAATAAAATAAATGGCTACAGACCTCATGTAAGAGAAGGGAAATTTCCCTGATGCCAGAATTCCTCCTCTGCCCATTATTGTTTGTGTGCTATAGTGATTGGTTGTGGTTCCCATGCAGCTCTCTGTGTATTACTTGAAAAGTGCTTTTGCAAAACACTTATGGGGACGTCGCCATAAAATCCTTTCCCAGCCTCTGCCATGTCATTCCTTTAAATACCCTGAACTGCCTGGGCATCGCACTTCACCAAGGTAAATCATTTCTATGGAATTTTTAGTCCCAGGAGAACTCTGACCAAGCAGAGAAAAGTCTGGATGAGTCCAACAGTGATTTAACAGAGCTGATCAAGAGGCGCCTTGAGAGTGTGGCCAGCACAGGAAGCTCGGCCAGTTCAGGATTCATTGAAGATAAGAGTTACAGTGACTCGGAAGAGGAAGAAGAAGGTAAAAGAAACTTATCTACTCCTGAGTCCTTTGTCTTAAATGTTTCCCTTGTTTCTGACTAAACTCTGCCCTAAGGGTCACTTGCTTTACAAAGTCTCTTTGCTTGTTGACAAGTCCTGTAGGTCATGGCAGACTCCAGCCAGGTCTACACTACAAATGTTTACTGTCATAGCTATGTCAGGTGGGGATAAGATGAGGGGTGATTTGTGACCTACATAGCTGGGCCAGCAATAGCCCCTAATGTAGGCACAGTTATACCACCAAAACTGCACTTTTGCTGGAATAACTTGTTTTGCTTGTGGGGGCTGGGGCCAGTAGAAGCTGCATCCACAAGAGGCACACTTTCACAGCTATACCGGCAAAGCACTGCTAGGGTAGACCTTATGAGTTCTCCCTCATGCTCACTACAGAAGGTCTGCAATAACACACATACACACACACCAACTGCTTCTTCTATGGTGGAGGGACGGTAGCAAAATGTTAGCAGAATGTTTGTGTTGCCAATCTGCCCTTCCAGAAAACGTTCTTCACCTAATGGAGTTAAAAGGAATGTCCTGTCTTTTCTCCGCAAATGTCCCTCTTTATGTGCTCTCCAGGATTGGCAGGCATGATTAATGCTAGAGGTCTTTCAGCTGTCTAGCCTTCTCCCTCTAGGTTCTCATGTTTCTGTGGCTCTTCTAGATGGTGAGGATCTGCAAAAGCGACCCCTGACCTTGGAGGATATGATTTGCTATAGTTTCCAGGTGGCAAAAGGCATGGAGTTCCTGGCCTCCAGAAAAGTGAGTTCTATTTCTGCACCACGCCTCCTTCTTATGTTTTTGTATTTCATTCAGTAAACCTCGAGAGATGAGCTTCTTTCATAGAGCCATAGCCATTAGAGATAAAGACTAAGTATATTATTGGGCCTGATTCTCCTGTGGCTTGCGCTTATTTTACACTATTGTAACTCCACTGAATCTTCTGGTCAAGTAAGGAGTGTCATTGATAGACCTCCAAAGGGAGTCTCCACCTGTTGTTGGCTGGAAGCACAGCAGCTATGACATGGGACCATAGCTGGAAGGAACAGAGAAAAATCGGGCAATTTCATCTGAATTCCATGACAGATATAGAAGAAATCTCTCCTGCCTCCAGGAAGGAAATATCCTTCCACAATGGAGAAAAAGCCCTCTGATAACTTCGGAGGAATGTAGCTCTAATAGTTTTGCTTGCAGGTAATTGTTGGTAACTGTAGCCAAATGAATGCCTCAATGTCATTTCAATCCATAGTCTATAGGTTTTTGAAGAAGTTTGAGTCTAAGCCATGTGCAAAAATATGTTCATAATTGTGGATCTGTCAGATGATTACCATGACAGTACCCAGAAATCAGATTGTGTGCACAGTTTTGCATATGTACAATCACACACTTATGGTAATTGCATATGCAAATGTTGGTGTATTGGCCCATGGGCCTTCTCCTTTCAAAATTTGGCCCGTAGGGTTTAATATTTAACTGGGGGGTTGCAAATCCATTCTGATCTTAGCTGTTCAAGTAGGGTTTATTTAACATGTAAAGAGTCTGAGAAATGACCAGCCACCATGTTTCTCAATCTACTCCTTGTGCTGAGTTATTTTCTTTCTACCATATGACAGTATATTTTTAGCAGGCTCCCACACACATTTTCCCACTCCACTCAGCTCCAACACGAGCTCGTTTTTCTTTCACTTTTCAAAGAGTCCCCAAGCTTTTTACTCCATTAGCAGCCTGATGTTCAGGCAAAACCTCTGATTTCACTTGTCCGCATTTCCTCGCAGTGTATTCATCGGGATTTGGCAGCAAGGAACATCCTTCTGTCGGAAAACAACGTGGTTAAGATCTGTGACTTTGGACTGGCTAGGGATATTTACAAAGATCCTGACTATGTACGGAAAGGAGATGTAAGTGAAAAGGACCTGACCTGCCAATCTTGAATATTACTCCCCCTAGGGACTGGGCAGATTAACAACCACAATAACTGGCCATGTGCCACATCTTTTTCATTCTTAGGCAAGACTTCCACTTAAATGGATGGCTCCAGAGGCTATTTTTGATAAAATTTATACTACGCAGAGTGACGTGTGGTCTTTTGGCGTGTTACTATGGGAAATATTTTCTCTGGGTAAGATCATTTTACACTTTTTTTTAATATGATATTATTGTGCAAAGAGCTTTAACAAAAGAGCAAAGGATACAGGGTCACATTCTGATCTCAGTTGGTCTGGTGTAAATTAACAGTAATTCAATATAAAATAGCTGTTACTCTAGACTGACAACATTTGGCTCCTAATGCATGATAAAAAAAAATCACTGATTTTAAATTTGTAACAATCGATACCAGGAGAGTGTGTGACAAACACAAAGCAGGGCTGCTCTGGATTGAAACATTTTTTTTTAAGTGGTGAAAGTTTCCCTGTCAAACCATATTTTCCCATGAGAAGTCTGGCTTCAGATCAGAAACCACACAGCCTATAGGTTGCAGAGAATTACGCTATTGTTGACATAATGGTCTGACATTGCTAGTGGTAGACAGTGAACCACAAGGGAATTTTTGTGTATGAGCTAACAGCTACAATGGCTGCTCTTGCCCCAGGCTTGATTCTGCTTCCCCTCAAAATGCTGATAAGTAAAATCACACTTTGGCTGCAGCCATCATAATCTTGACATGAGAACCCGTGCCAGCCTCCATTAGTCATTTTGGAAGCAAACAGATAGAATGCGTATTTGTATGTGTACACCGCTTGCGAAGGCACAGAATGTTTGGAATGAGGACATCGGGGCTCTATGAGCTTCATCCTGCCATTAGACAAGACTTCTTAGAAAGCTCAGTCTGGGATCTGGTCATTACCCAACAGGTAAGGCTCCTGAAACCGAACCATACAATGTCGCTTACAGCCAGTGAGATCCCTCTGTTCCCAAATCCTCCTCGTACAGCATGGCATCTTCTCTTTCCTCAGGGTTGTCCAGTGGCTTTCTAATAAGCATTTCCAAACAAATGAAAACAGTAACCCCATATAGTTAAGCTCCCAAGTTCTAAACAGTCCTGGGTGACCCTCCAATGCCTGCAAGTTATAGATTGGCTGGGATTAACGTTGAGCCCATGATGCCAAGTTCAGAACTGGATGCGGAATTCTCCAAAGTTTGGGACTATTCAGATCCAGGGTTTTGGTTTAGCTCATTATGGAGATTGAGCGCTGGCTGCAATGCTCAGAACCTGATTTGAACTTCCTTGAAGCTCAGGAGTGTTTTGGAACTCCGGCTTTGGGTTGGGTTCATCTGTAGTTTATATTAACATGCAAAAGAGACACTTCACTGTTTAAAGTCTGGGACCAGGAGTTATTGCTTTCTCCAGAGTCTGGGTATGTCTCTGCCCTTGTATCGACTTAGAATTGTGGTGCTGTAGTGTAACACATCCATGGCTGCCTAGGGGCTTCACGAGGGTCATTCTGCTACATACCCTTGGGAATGTCACAGTAAGAGGAAGACTAGAACTCAGATCCTTGAACTCTACATGACCCAACTGTAGCAGCCAGCCAGCAGACCGATGGAAGTATATTAGCATGTAGAGACACAATTAATGGAGACAGTCACGCTATGGAGATATCTGCAAAGACCCAAGTGAACTGGCTGTTGGTGAATGGCAACAAATGCTTCAGGATGCCCCAGTGATGCTGAGCTGGAAACACATCCAGCCACTCCCAAGAGTGGTGTTGAAACAGGCATGAAATTCTCTTCACTGGCCTTTTAATACAGAAGGTGCCAAATAAAAGTCAAGAGTAATAATAACAAAATCCAGTGAGTAGATTTTTATTCTTCTGTTTTTATTCATAATGCTTTCAAAAATAAATGTAAGGTGCTTTCAGACTGCTTGGTTTAAGTAGCCCCTTTTCTCAATGAAGTTGCTTAATTGGGGCCACTTAAAACAAACAGTCTGAAAGTAACGTAAATTTAGACAGTAAATTTCTGAAGCCAGAGGAATCCACTAAATTACAGCACAATTTGACCATCCTTAGGACTTCCTATCCTTCTGTTATGATGTAGATCACAAACTACTTTCCTCTTTCCATGGCACTTATTCAAAAGCCAGTCGTTATCCCTCAGAGGAGTTTTCATAAGGACCATCCAGGCATGTCCATGGTTTGGCACTAGTCACATCTGCAGCTCACATGATAAATATTTAATTAAGGGTTTCTGTCACTGATTGAACCCTCTTATATAAAAGTTTTACAGATCATTGAGAGCCAGAGTACAGAAAGTTATTTGTCTTTGCTACAGGGAATGTTTTGGCTCCCATCCACAATCACTGCTTTTATGGGGTCCCACAGATTCAGTGCCTTTTAAAAAGAAAGATATTGACCTGAAAAAAATGCAGTTTGGTTTGGACATAGGTCCTGGTCAGGGCCAAAAGTTGAATCTGGAAATAAAGCACTACAAACTTCCTCTCAGCTAGGCAGAGTGCATTAGTTCTGTTGATGCACAGGTAAACCTACATAGGAGGAATTGCTTATCTTGATTTTGTAGCTGGTTTTGCTACTAATTATTTAAATGGGGTCAGCACAGTTGGTGGCAGATAATGCATTTTGAAATCAATTACTTGGCACATTACAGAATGTCAGTCTCTCCTGGAATTTAAATTTGCGGGGTTTCAAAAAGCAATCAAAGGTAATTATGTAAACAACCAGCATTGGTAATGCAACATCAGCATCTTATTAGCCCACTAAAATAAAAGTGAGATCAAAAAGAGGGTTATTTAATAGCCAGTGCAAGCCACATCTTTAAATGTTTTGAAGACGAATTCCCCCAAGGGAAATGTCATGTCATCTGAACCCACATTTTTCCCAGCCTTTCCTAGCAGCCAAAATCCAAATCATTACGCCAATACCAGAGACCAGATGCACCATAATGATGTGCACGAGTGTTTTGCTCCGTGCATTTCAGCTCTGAGCTTGCCCCACTTGATAGGAGGTCAACCTGGGCCAAAAGGTTGCATATCAAGAATCACTCTTCCCTGCCTTCCTGCCACTCTTTCTCACCAGTGTCCTACAGTGGGTGCCCAAGAATGGCAAGCTTTCACATACTGAGGGTTCACTTTGCACATTATAACCAGCTGGAGTAGCTGAGATTTCCAGACCAAGTGAAACTCCTCACCTCTCACAAGCCCCAGTCAATGTATGTAAATCAAAACAAGGAAATGCCCCCAAATATTCCAAAACTGTTTAGGCTAACAGAGTCCACAGCGCTTACTTACCAGGCTATGGCTTTCATCTTGCCCTTCGTGATCTAGCACTTCACCAAGGCCTAGTTCTTTATGATAAACTCTGCTGCAGAGACAATTAGCATGAGGTAGCCAGTGCAGTTTAGCAAAGCAGAGCTGACTCTTGGTCTGTTTGGATTGCTCTTTTGCATGCTGGAATGTACTAAACTTGCAGCGTAAAACAGCTGGGATGACTCATCACTATCTCAGCCATACTCGGCTCCTCCACATGGAAATCTGCTGGCTGGACAGGTCTCTGCTTACGATAGTGTCGAATCACAGAAATCTGAGTTGGAAAAGGACTTCTAGGTCATGCAGTCCCTGTTTTCACAAATGCAGGATTGTTGCCTGCAGCACACTCTCCTGTGTATTGTCCACGCTAGTGCTAAATGTCCCAAGCAATGAGATTCTACCCACTTCTCTTGGGAAACTACTCCACAGTCTGAGATACTGAAGACTGGCATTAGTAGTCCTCAGGGTTGCTGTGTATGAAGTATAAGATGGACTGTGTGAAGATGGACAGTTCAGCTAGCATGACAGCTCTGAGGGTCAAAGTTCAGAAAATTTGCATGCCAATGCATGTCTAAGGTCTGGTCTATATTACCCGCCTGAATCGGCGGGTAGAAATCGACCTCTCGGGGATCGATTTATCGCGTCCCGTCGGGACGCGACAATCGATCCCCGAATCGGCGCTCTAACTCCACCAGGGGAGGTGGTAGTAAGCGCCGCCGACAAAAAGCCGCAGAAGTCGATTTTGCCGCCGTCCTCACAACGGGGTAAGTCGGCTGTGATACGTCAAATTCAGCTACGCTATTCACGTAGCTGAATTTGCGTATCTTAAATCGACTCCCCCCTGTAGTGTAGATGTACCCTAAGTGGTCTCGGTGCCACTAGATGGGATAGAAAACCACACCCAGGAGATGTGTGGGTTACAGCAGCACCTTTCATCCAAGGATCTCAGAATGCTTTTGAAGTATTTAGTGTATGAATTAACTCGCTTACCTGAAATAGGTAAGAATGAATATACCTAAACTGAGGGTACATCTACACTACAGGGGGAAGTCGATTTAAGATACGCAAATTCAGCTACGTGAATAGCGTAGCTGAATTCGACGTATCACAGCCGACTTACCCCGTTATGAGGACGGCGGCAAAATCGACTTCTGCGGCTTTTTGTCGGCGGCGCTTACTACCACCTCCCCTGGTGGAGTTAGAGCGCCGATTCGGGGATCGATTGTCGCGTCCCGACGGGACGCGATAAATCGATCCCCGAGAGGTCGATTTCTACCCGCCGATTCAGGCGGGTAGTATAGACCAGACCTTAGAGTGCAATTAATGAGTCTACTCTACAGCCTTAGCTAACAGCCGGTTGGCTTTTAGCTCATGCAGTAGAGGCTCATACACTAAGTTCCAGAGGTCCCAGGTTCGATGATGACTGGGGTCTGTCAGCATTACACTGCCATACAAGCAAAACATTATCTTATCATTCTGATTATGACTCTTATTATTCCTGGTGTCAGACAAAACTGGGAAGGGAACTATAGATACACAACAGAAATGAGTCTCACAATATATTTCCAACTCAACTAAAACCAGGGAAACACAAGAACAGATTGTTTTGTGATATTGCTGATGGGATTTCTGTCCCAGTTCACAGACCAAAGGATTTCAGATAACTGTGGCCAAGTGACTCAAAGGTGCCATAGACTGCCTTCCGAGCCTACTCAGTGAGATCCTTGCTACTTCCACAATCCCAGCCCTGCAGTGCATGATATCAGGGATCAAGTGGCAAGGCCCATGCAGTTAAATTATTTGGGGAATAGTCACTCTCTCAATTTCTAATATTTCTGCATGGCTTGTTCCCGCCCACAAGCGTGCAGTATATGATGGCATTCCCAAGCTTGAATAAAACAGGAGATCAGGCAGGAATGTTATAGAAAGTAAATCGCATACAGATTCCTCACGAGCTGGACCCAGATTCAGATTCCATTAAATCCCTGCTGAACAGAATAAATGTTCTTCCAAACTCTTCAGCCAGCCTCGGGGATGCCAGACTATGAAAAGAAATGGCTGTGTTACAGATTACAGCCTCTGCTGGGGAGGAGGGAATCCAGAGGTGCTAGGAAGAGAAGGGGAATTTCATATTCTTTTTGAGGGAAGGGGTGGGAATGTTTTTTTAAAGATAAACTCAGCCTCTTTCTCACACCCCTTTTCCTTTCCCCCAAATGGATGAAAACCTTACAGAACCCTATAGGGCCTTGGCTGTAGAATTTGTGATGTCCAAAAAGGCTCATAGGCCCAGATTCTCAAAGATATTTAGGTGCCTAACTCCCACTGATTTCTGGACCTTTGCTTCTACTCCACTATCGTAGTTCCCTTGACTTTGTTCCAACACTGAATTTCACCCAGCTGGCCTGGATCCTTAATAATGAACTAGGGACTTTTTTAGAGCTCTAGGCCCAATTTAAACTCTGGTGTAAGCAGGCATAACTCAGATTAACTCCAATGGGAGGGACACCCACTAATTTATAGCCCTCTTCAGCCCAGAAAGGTCCCTGAGTCCCTTTGCAATCTCTGTATGTGGTCTTTGGCTGTAATTTCAAACATAAATGGTTGAACAACAACAACAACAGGCTGTAGCTGGCTGAAGATTCCCACTCTCCAATTCAGTGAGGGAATAGGATGCATCCCACCATATATAGAGAGAGTCTCCATCCCTATGTCTGTGCATGTCATAGAACAGCACTGAAGATGATTTGTATTATGTAAAACAGGACAAAATGAGGATTACTCTTTCTGTCGGATGGCTGCTGGGCGACCCATGTGAAATAAGATGGTGACGTCAATCCAGTTCCTAGTGCGTTTACGTCCAAAAATGCAGTCACAATTGGCACTAAGTGCCTCCCTCCCCTGGCTGGAGGTTAAGGATTGGATGGGCCTAGAGACAGAATTCCCCTAGAAGTGGTTCCTCTGGGTTATGTTTGAGGCACATTAAACAGGGAATGGTAAGGAGGTGGAAAGGGGAGTTTGCCTTGTTGCGGGCTATGATTTCCCTGTTCTGTGGATAAACAAAGGCCTTCAGTCTCCAGGCTGTCAGACCAGCAAATTGAACTAGTATTACATTCACACTGAAACAGAAAACAGGGATGAAAATTGAGGCACTATTGGAAGAAAGTGAACATTTCCCAAAGCAGGAGCGTGTCTCTGCTGTGCTTGCTGTTCTGACATAGAATTAACTTCTACAAGGAAAACATGAGCTATTACAGGGCAGCTCGGCTCACTTACATACTCGCCTTGCCCTGACAGTTGCATTAAGGAGCTTGATTTATTTGTGTGCATTGGTTTCCTTGTCACATTAGTACAGATGTCATTATTGGAGGCACAGTCTCACAAGTTTCTCATGAGAACAAGGGGAATGTGGTGAGTTGACAGAGACATGCTTCCATGCATTTTACCTACAGTGTGTTTGGTTCATCCGCTAACCAATCGGAACTTAATGTAACAAGGGTTTGGGCCTTGCCCAGGAACTTTGCTTGGGCTTTTAGTCCTAAGCTAGCGTCATGAGATCATCAGGTGGGGAGTCAGAGCCTTGCACCTCTACCAATTCCTCCCGCTCACCAGTAGTGCTGTTGATAGACCCCCCCCCCCCCCCCCCCCCGGCTCTAGAAAGGTTAATCCACTTAGGTCCGATGGGGGGGATCTCAAGAGGAGGAAACTGAAGTACTTGAGGTTCTAAGGGGAAGAGTAAACCACTTTCTTTCCACCCGTTCCCAGGGGGACCCTAACCTTCAATTTTTCCCCTTCTGTATTTATAATGGGCCAAACTCTGAGGGTTCTTGGTCATTACTCAGTGGAAGTTTTGTCTAAGGACTTCAGGATTCGGCCCAACATATGCAACACTAACCTGGCTTGACCAAGAGGAAGAAGAGTTCAATTGCGTGTCTGGAGGGGGATTTAGCTGACCTTTGGCTCCCGTTGCCTTTGTGTCACATATGGCTAAAAGCCTACAGCAGCCCCCAGCCTTATTCACGTGAGCAGCTAGTTCCATTGATGTCACAGGGACTGAATGAGTTAGTGAGGATTGCAGGACTCATTATTACTTTATGTAAATTCAAGTAGTGGAAAATTTGGCCTGAGGCCTTACTTTGAAACCAGAATGTGTCTAGGTGAACTAGAAAGAACCTTCCTACTTAACCCAGGAGATTATTTAAGGCATGAAACTGACATGCATTTTGCTTTTGTTCTGCTGTGTTTCATTTCTGGGTGATTCTGACCCTGGTTTTAGTATGAATGTATTGCTCAACTTGACCAGAAACCTCTAGCTAGAAGGAGTTCCTGTTCTAATGAAATTTCTAGAACAAAGTCCTTTTGGGTGCTACTGTGAACTGAGCTGAACCTCCACGCCCGTTTGGGTTTCATCACTCATCACTGAAAATATATGTGTATCGTGGTCCTTTAGGAGCAACAGAATGTGCCAGGCAATGTGCTGCTTTAGTTTATCATGAAGGGCTGATATTTACAAGGTGGATGCAATTGGCTTTGGACCTAGAATTCATGTATTCTTTGTGAAGAGCCTAAAAATGACTTTCAGTGGGACTTAGACACATAAGCTTTTTAAGCAATTTAAATCTTTGTAAATCTGGCCCACATTGTTATTTCTACAGTCAAAGGGACTTATCCCAAGAGATGCTGAGCACCTGCAACTCCCATTGCATCAGTACCTTTTAGGATCAGGCCCCAAATTTCCAGCTAGGCTGGAATGCTCAGCAATCACCATTGCTGTTTTGCATTCAGATGAATAATGACCAAGCCAGATGAGGTCACCCTCTCTGTCTGTACCTGCAGGTGCCTCACCATACCCGGGAGTGCAAATTGATGAGGACTTCTGCCGCCGCCTCAAAGAAGGAACACGGATGAGATCACCAGAATATTCCACTCCAGAAATGTAAGAGTTCTACTCCCGGCATTGGACAACAGATTTTAACCATCGTAACAGGGACTTTGATTTGTGTGTTGAGGTGGGGGGAGGGTTTGTCAGATTGTCTTTCTTGTAACCCATTTATTAAATTTTGGGGTTGTGTCTACCCCAGGCTCCCTGATATCATAGACCAATAACAACAAACCACCAAGTCAACTGCAGGGCCAATCCGTCGATAGGCAAAGGGGTTAACAGATCATTTCAGGCTAGTTGTGGTGTATGAAATCTCAGTTCAAGGAACTATCATATTTGTTTGATTTCCAGTTCTGTGGGAGTGTCTATGTAGCCGTAATTGCTTTCAGCCACATCAGCAGGGCCTGCGACTCAAAGTGAAACTAGCTCAGCGTAAACAACGTAGAGAATTGATTGAAACACAAGCATGGAGTGAAAAGACATGACTGGGGGTGTAATGCAGTGCTTCTGAAATTTGATTTGTCACCTCCATTGGGGGTATCAGGTGGGAAGTCATTTAGATGAGGATGGAGACAAGCAGCAGCACAAAGAAATGGTTTGGAAACGCAGACTGACGTTCTCTTAAAGTCCATGTGTTTTTCCATAGCTACCAGACTATGCTGGATTGTTGGCATGGAGTTGCCACAGAGCGGCCCACCTTCACAGAGCTGGTTGAGCGCTTAGGAGACCTCCTCCAGGCAAACGTGGAACAGGTACAGCTGTGCGGCTGGTTTGTCGCATGTGTGCAGAGATGATATCCCAGGGTTAAGCAACAATATAAGACATGACTTCACATCACCGCAAAGAACACAGTGAAAATGGCTATTGGTGTGAGGGTAGGAGTGGAAAATGCTACATATTCAAAGGGGATTTTGGTTAGAAAATGAGATGTTTATCCATCCACAACGAGCAGAAACTTACAGTATATTAATTAAAAAAAGGCTCAGTTGCCCCCTAGAGGAACAATAGCTCATTATCTCACAAAACATTTTAATTAGTTTTCAACACTGAAAACTGCCAGTAGCATAGTTCTCTTCCTACAATTGGTCTGAACTCTCTCTCTCTCTCTCTCTCTCTCCCTCCCCTTTTTCTCTGTATTTAAGCTCATTGTTACTTTTAGGAACTTCAAAATGAAGCCATTTAAGGCTCAAAGAGTCAATTACATAATTGTCAATTTCATACTAGTTAGATCAACTTTTTTCTCTCCATTTTAAAAAACCCCAACACCTCAGTTATGTAACTGTCAATTCCATTATAAGAAGAAATCAAGCTCTTTCCCCGGCCCCTTCCCTTTTGGAAACTAATACATCAGTGAAGCTAAATTGAAAGACACTTGTTTTGCAATGTGCAAAAGCCAGGAAGAGTTTGTGAGCCTTATGCTGCAAGCAAAGGAAATTAAAGAGAACTCAGGAATCGTGATAAGGGACCAGGCAGTTAATTACGCCTCAGAATTAAAATCAAGGGAAGAGAATTTTGATAAATGGGTTTAAGACGACAAGGAGCCACTTCTACAGATAATTGTAATAATTAGCACTTGCTGCTGAGAATTCATAGCTTACTTAGGTAGGTGCTGAATTATATTAAGGATGCAGTGGCAACTGTTGTAATGAAAGCACAGGAAATAAAGTGGTTTAAGGCTGCAATAATAAGGAATGGCTGTCATTAGCTGCAACTGCTCAATTGGAACAGAAGCTCATGGGCTATAAATAGGCATTACTCATTTCAAATTCCCAGCTCTGCTATAGCCTCACATGCTGTCTGGCTCTGTGTCTCTCCTTTCCCACACATAAACATGGGGCTTTAACATGGATTTGGGTATTTTGAGTCCCATTACACTGAGCCCATGGAAATCACCAAAGATGCCAAAACATTGAAAATGTCATTGAGTGCCTAACTGAGAGAACCCATAAGAACATAAGAACGGCCATACTGGGTCAGACCAAAGGTCCATCTAGCCCAGTATCCTGTCTTCCGACAGTGGCCAATGCCAGGTGCCCCAGAGGGAATGAACAGAACAGCTAATCATCAAGTGATCCATCCCCCGTTGCCCATTCCCAGCCTCTGGCAAACGGAGGCTAGGGACACCATTCCTGCCCATCCTGGCTAATAGCCATTGATGGACCTCTCCTCTATGAACTTATCTAGTTCTTTTTTGAGTGCCCAACTTAACTGAGGCTGATTGGGGCATGATAATAAATAATACTAGTAGAAAATAATTGGCTGCAGGTTTGTCCTTGATGCAATAGGAGAGCCCTGTAAAGCCAGCTGCTTTCAAATGGATATGAACATCTTGGTGTCCCCCATGCCAGAGATCACTCAATGATGCTGCATGCTCAAAATGTTTAGTTTTCCTAGCTGACGCATGAGCACCAGAAGCAGAGCTGTTGTTGCCATGAGAGAAGCTTGAAAAAGATGGCCTAGAATGCGGGGGCACCTGGAGGTCTTGCACTTTGCTGCCATGATTGATGAAGCAACGGAGTGCTAGTGCTCAGATGCCTCCAAGGGAGGATCTACACAAAGAGCAACCAGGACTGGAATTTTCATCCATTCTTCTTAGTGGATCTCCCCAAAATGAAAGATTTGCCTTGTGGAAAGACAACAGGATAGTGAATGTTGAGCAAAGCCCTTAACGCTGGATTTAGTGTATTGCAAAGAACTTCATGACTGCCTTAAAGAAATAATCAAAAATAAAACAAATAGCTACATGGCTTTCATAGTGCACAGCCCTGCTTGGAAAATGGTTCCAGTAGAGCTTGATAGCCATTAATGTCCAGGACATCAGCAGGAAGAACTGATCCTTACTGGCTTCTCTTTCTTCTGTTAATTATTTAGGATGGTAAAGACTATATTCCACTGAACATCACATTATGCCTTGATGGAGAATCTAACCCAAAGACCTGCCCAGTGGAAGAAAACTTGAGCAATTGCATTAATCGCTGGAGTGCATTGGGAATAGGGTAAGGAAAATGCTTTCTTATTTTGGTTTCAAGTCAAGAATCTAAACAATTAAGACAGTCAAAGCTGGGAAGTAGTTTAAGCCTGCATGTAAGGGCATGAATCACAATAGTTTGGTATATGTGTTGTCTTCTCTGCCTACCAGCATTTATGGAGTGGAATGGGTCTGCTGATGGTTCCTGGGTTCAGTCAGCACTAGGCTAGGGGCAGGGCTTTCCCTGGTTGAGTGCTCTTGGCTATGAAACCCTCTCCCAGGGGTCAGCACCACCATGTTGCATGACAGTCACTTGACAAAATTACCAGACTTAGTGATGGACATTGGCGGGGAGTGGGAGGGGGCTCCGGGCTGAGGCAGGGGGTTGGAGTGTGGGAAGGGGTACAGACTCTGGGCTGAGGGTATGGGTTCTGAGGTGGGGCCAGAAATGAGTGGTTCAGGGTGCAGGAGAAGGCTCTGGGTTGGAGCAGGGGGTTGGGATGCAAGGGGATAAGGGCTCTGGCTGGGGGTGCAGGATTTGGGGGTGCAGGAGGGGGCTCCGGGCTGGGGCTGAAGGGTTCAGAGTGTGGGAGGGGGCTCCGGGCTGGGACACAGGGTTGGAGTGTGGGGGCATGTGAGGGCTCCAGCTGTGGGTGCAGGCTCTGGGGTGGGGCTGGGGATGAGGGTTTTGGGGTGCAGGAGGGTGCTCCGGGCTGGGATCGAGGAGTTCAGAGGGCGGGAGGGGGATTGGGGTTGGGGCAGGCTCCAGGCGGCGCTTACTTCAAGCAGCTCCTGGAAGCAGCGGCATGTCCCCCCTCCGGCTTCTACGCGGAGGTGCGGCCAGGCGGCTCTGTACACTGCTCCATCCGCAGGCGCCACCCCCATAGCTCCCATTGACTGTGGTTCCCGGCCAATGGGCCGGGAGCCGCAGAGTCAGCGCTGGAGGTGAGGGGGGTGACTGAGGCAGCATGCAGAGCCACCTGGCCGCGTCTCCACCAGCAACAGCAGGGATGGAGAGCCGCTTGCGGGGAGCCGCCTGAGGTGAGTGCCCCCCACGGACCTCAACATTTTTACCATGGACACTTGTGTCCATATACAGACACATTGCCGACCCCTGCTCCTTCCCCAAAGTGATTTGCCACACTGGCTGCCTTTAGGGCAGGCTATCAATCCCATGTGTTTTAGATGGACCATCCTCTCCTGAAGCTCCCACTCCTGTGATTTCAGTTTCAGTCCCCCACATGCTTGTATCAGTTGGCTTTGAACACTTTTCTGGGGAAGAGTAGTTTGCTTTGAGTGTCACTGAGTTTCCCTCTGTGCCTTACACCTTGGTCCCATCTCGAGATGGGCCAAGGAAGCTGTGCATTGGGTTGTGCAGAAACAAAGCCAGGGATAGTTGGATCCAGCCTCTCTTTTATCTAAACCACCAAGGTTTGGGGGAATTATAATAACACTTTGCAAAGCTTCCAGTTCTGGCCCTGCTCTCATTCTGCTTTAATAAATATTAGGCCCGATTGGCTCTCTAATTGGTTTTCAATGTTTTGTATTTAGATGGGTTAAATAAAAATATAATCTAGGAATTGGATAGCGGCTTTAGAAGCCCCTGTCCTGTTGGATGCAGAATGGCTAGGACTGGCTGCATTCTGTGTGTGGAGGAGACAGACAGCTGGCATGCCTTGCTGGGTGCTGTGGAAGTGCACACAGGAGTGGCAACTGCTACAGACTTAAGGTGGTGCAGCTTGCGCTCCCACCAGCATTGACCATGGTCTGCCATCCGTATAGAAAGGGAAAGATCAGGAAAGGGAGGGGACATGTATACATCCCTGTCCTGTCCTTTGTGATGGCTGCTAATGATGGTGGTGTATGGCCATATGACTTTCGCCTGGTAGGCCAAGAGAATCCAGAACCCTTATCCTGTAATTTAAAATACTATGGGTTGTCTGAAGTCCTGGTAGTGTAGATTTTGTCAGCAGCTCCAGGGTGGGGGTCTCATTTTATAACTCATATATGGATGCTGCTTGTCAGGGCCCTATTCACTGGTTGCAAGATGTAGAAGAAAATCTGATGAAGAAACCTCCCTTTGGGTCAGGGACATTGTTTGAGCTACAGAGCCCGGTCAGCAGCCATTTGGGAAAGAAGGAAAGTTATCATGAATGGTTGCGCACTGATCGCTCCCCCTTCTCCTTTCCAGTAATAACAGTAAGAAGAGACCGCTGAGTGTGAAGACATTTGATGAGGTGCCAGTGGAGAAGCAGAAAATGATGAATGAGGTAAGCGAGGTGAACATTTCCCCTTCCAGCAGCTTTGCAGGCCTGCTGTCATCAGGGCCAGAAAGAGTTTCTGGAGCATGTGTGTGCTTCATTCTGGGAGAGGGGACAGAAACCCCAAGGGGGATTTGGCCCTGGAGCCAGGAGAGCGAATGGGATCCTGCACTTTCTTTCATGAAGCAGTTCAAATGAAGGCTAAAAGCATGATTATTTCAGCTCTGCTCAGTGCCAGGAACTTCATGTGGCCTCTTCTGGGGTCACAATGATAAAGCATCTAGTTGTCTCTCTTCTCCTTCCGTATAAAATAACTCAGGAGCTACTTTTGTAGTTCAGCTCCTTGTGAACTTCAGTATCATCTCTCCCCATGCTTCCTGCCTTAAAGCCAGAGCCACTGGCACCATGGGGCAGCCCCTGGCTGCTCAAAAACTCCACAGCAAGAAGCCCTCAGGAGACCGTCTGACTGAGGGAGAGAGTGAACACCCACAGGCTGTGGAGCAAGTAAAGGTCAGGGAGGATGCACACATTTTTGTCTCACCCTATGGCCCATATGCTCTCCCAGGCAAGGAGTGCTCTCACGCTCGCTTGCTTTCCCCAGCCTGCATGGTCCCCTGTGCAGGGAGTTTCTTCTCCAATTGATGAATATATCTCTGCTAGGAAGGGTGAGGTGTCCAACTACAGTTAATCCTAGAAAGCAGATCTCTAGTCCATCTTCTTGCCAGTGCAGAACTGTTGCCTGTTATTTCCTATTCCTTTGCCATATTCAGTTTCTAGACCTCCATCCCTATTCCACAGTCTTAGGGATCCGTAGGGTAAGAATTCCCGCTAGCTGCTGTATGCTCCCTCTTCAGGGATAGAGCTCTGTCTCCCTGTATCACACAAGTACTTTCACTGGACAGACAGCTATCACAAATAGGTGACCAACTGCCTGCATCTGCATCCCTCTTCCAAAGATCTCCTCATGAGGGGCATTTCTAAAATCAGTACATATTTGGTGGTAATATTTTTCCTACATACAGGAAAGAGGGTGACATTATAATAATGGCAGAATTAAAGTGGTATTGCAGTGGGTATCTTAGATAAGTATAGCCCTTGTGTCATCCGCTTTACTACTGAGTGCACAAGGATTTGTGCCAGTATATTAAATGCCAAAGGAATTAATACTGATTAGGTCAGTATTTCAAATAGTTCAAAGTACACAACCACACCTGTCCTGCAATAGTGCTTGTTATTTGTAGTTTTTTTATTAGTTTTCTTGTAGTCATTTAAAGATACTTTGAAAGCAGCAATTCAGATAAATACACCTCTACCCCAATATAACACAAATTCGGATATAACGCAGTAAAGCAGTGCTCCTGGGGGGCGGGGCTGCGCGCTCCAGTGGATCAAAGCAAGTTCGATATAACGCGGTTTCACCTATAATGCGGTAAGATTTTTTGGCTCCCAAGGACAGCGTTATATCGAGATAGAGGTGTATGTGGTTGAGAAATAAATTATGGGGTCACTTATTGTTAAAACATAAACCTGGGGTGAAATCCTTGCCACTGATTTCAGTGGGGCTGGAATTATAGTTAAAAAAAAAACAAAAAAAAGCACATTTTCTGACTTGTGTTACTACCCCCTGAGAACATCTGATTTTCTGTTCACTCTTTATGCCACTTGTTCACTTTTCCACTTGACCCAGACTGCATGCTGAAATAAGACTGCTCACAGTTTCATTCCTATTTCTAGTTAGTTTTCCTTTTTGGTTCTGGTGCACAGCACAGCTGCTGTTGATGCCACTTTCCAGCACTGAAGGGGAGTATTTAAGTTGTAAAGGATTCCCCCCCCCCCCAAAAAAAACTGTTTTCATTTAAAATTTGTATAGTTATTTTGAACAGGGACCATGTCTACCTGTCAATTTGTGCTGCACCTAGCGTGATGGCAAACTAGCCATATTCATGGCCTCTAGACATAAGCTTAGTGCAGATAATAAAAATTAATAATAATTAACAATCATAGCTTTTGAATCAGAGCCTCCTCCCTCTTATTTTAACACCACTTTATCTTTTAGACCTAAACTTCACAACTCTGCAGGACAGATGAAAGATTTTTTTTGTCCACTTGAGTACAAAGAAGGAGCCCTGCAAGATATGTTTACTGTGCCATATTCCTTGCAAGGAGTTTGTGTGGTCTAATCTGGTACCACACTTATGTTTTCTTTAGTTCAGTAAGAAGTGTTTCTAATAGGGAGAGCAATTCTAGAAGATATTTAAGATAGTGTTTAACTCAGGAGACCTATAAATGGATGTGCACTTTATAAACCTTCATTCAGATTTCAGCTCCACAATCTAGAAGGTACCCCTACATCATTAATAACAGATTTCAAGTTTAAAATGGCAAAAAGCTTCTTGTTGTGATATGTGTATGTAGAATTTCTCTTTAAAATACCAAAAAAACAAAATAAGAGAGAAGAATCGTCAGTTATGTTTGCTTTCTTTTATTTGACACAGTCTTCCCTCACTATTAATGTCTTTCTGTCTGTATACATTATTTGAGCCCTGTGCATATCATTGAATTTTATGGCCTTTTGAAAAATGATCAATAACATTTTTAACTCTATAAAAACAAGGCAAATTTTTAAAGACTAAACAAAAAGTACCAAGGGGCCCAGATGGCTAAGCGGAATGGTAACAAAGGCCCCAATTTAGCAAAGCACACAAACCTGGGCTTAACTTCCAAATCAGTGAGCGTTATGGAAGAGCTGAAAGTTGTGTGTATTTTTAAATGCTTTTGTGCATAGAGGTGAGTTTTTAAAGTACGTGTGCCAGTGCTTTTGCTGAATGGGGGCCATAATACAGATCGTTAGCACTGTAGGTTGTTGATTTGAGTCCAACCCGCCTTGGCAAATGCCCATCTGAAGACTCTTTGGTGCTTTGTGTGGAATGAGTTGGTAGGGTCTCACTCCAGCTCCTAGTACACTAGTGTGAACCTAAAAAAAAATAATAATAATCACCACTACAAATGGCTTCCTTGTCGGCAGTCAGTGCCTGAGAGGCCAGTAACTGAACTGGCCTTGGAGCCTCAACCCCACCTAGTGGTAGGGTGACCAGATGTCCCAATTTTATAGGGACAGTCCCGATAGTTGGGTCTTTGTCTTATATAGATGCCTATTACTCCCCACTCCCTGTCCCGATTTTTCACACTTGCTATCTGGTCACCCTACCTAGTGGTGGCCTCTCCAGGGATGAGGGAACCTTGCACTGCTCCTGCCTGGGCTTTACCTGCTCTGTGGACAAATGAGGGAATTCAGCCTGTAGGACTGAGAGTCTGGCCCCTATCACAACACAAAAAATGCTTCAGAAGAGTAAGTGAGAGAAGGATAGATTCCAGCTGGAACTTGGTGTTTGAACTGGCCCCTTTGCTCTTCCTTCTCTGGTGGCTTTAATTGCTGCCCAGTACAAATTCTCCATCACGCTTTTTCCCCCTTGCTGTGAATCCAAGAGAGCTGCAGCGCTGTCCTTTTCAGTTACCATGTTACTGATGTCCTGTTCCTTTCGCTGTACAGGAGAGCGAGTCAGATAGCGGGATGGTGCTGACATCTGATGAGATGAAAAGCCTGAAGAGGCTGGAAATCCGCTCCTGGCCTTATGGGATTATGGCTCTAGCGTGAGTACTTTGGCAACATTTCTTTGGAGTCAGTGTCCTGTCCAGAAAAGGTTGTAAAAAAAAGTTTCTGATTCCAAATGGAACACTGTTAGTCTGCAGCACCAGCAGCTCTGCGCTTCATGATTACAACAGAAAGAGGATGGTTAATACATTTCAAAATGAAGAGGCACAATTCAGTTTTGGTCACAGCATAGAGAAAAGAGGTACCAGTTTGCATATAAAACACAATCCCAGACTTCTGAAAGGAAGGCTGTTCCTCTAGATGGGTTTCATACATGTGTTTCTCTGCACACAGTGTGAACATTAATTAGTCTGATAAAGCACTAAAACCAATTTCATCAACCTCAGCGCAGGATGCACCACCAAACAAATTAACTCTTTTTCCAAAGGAGAAGCTGCCTCATGCTTTTGAATCATCATATTCAAAGAGGGGTCAGACTTTCAAATAAAGTTGGCTTGTTTCAGGGTCTAACCTGTAAGACCCACAAATTTGGTGCAAGTGGCAAACATAGCGAATAGTATTTCTGCTACAGAGTTCTTCAAAAGCATCTATGGGAAGGATCTCATTCTCTGTTCAGTTAGTTAGGAATTTACAATAAATTTCAACCAAACTGCTTGGAGTTTTCTGTAAGACCTATCACCGTAGTATCTAACACAGCTAGAACCCTATTGACTCGGCTTCTCCCTGTTAAATTCAACACGGCTTTTCCACAATGGTATTTTCTACAATTCCCCACAGAACACAGTTGACCTTCTTTGTGAGGTGTGGTATATTGGGAGAAGTTTGCACTGCTTCTGTATAGCGTTAGCAGGCTCATTTCAGAGCGTGCACAGTCAGAGCGCAACAGTCAGTACTTGAGAGGGACTACTGACTTGCTCCTGACAGCCAGAGAGGAAGGATGACGGAAGCTTGCCTTGGCTTTTCACACTTCCGCTCCATGAATTTCCAGTTATCGTTTGGGGGAGTAGACTCAGTCTGTGGTATGTGATAAAAGTTACAGAGCAGGCTCATGTTATCCTTGCTGAACTGATGTAAGCTTTCAAATTCCACTTGTCCTGCAGGAAAGGAACTCAGTGTGTTCAGCAGAATTCATTCTGCAGGACGGTGGGAGAATTAAGGACCCAGTATTGTACCTAAAAGGGGACAGCAGGCATCCTTACAAAGTTCTTTGTCTACATGCACACTAGGGGTGGGTGCACTGATTCAAATAAAACACCTTCTCTCCCCTGATGATATTTGCCCATTTTTTAGAATCATATCTGAATGAAACTTTTTTGTTTCTGAGATTCAGAAGTGTTCAGATGAGTAGCTGGTGGATTTTTCTTTCCTGCCCCTTCAGGTTTTCAGCAGGCATCAGAAGCACCAAATTCCCACATGCCAGGCTGCTCTCTAATGGCATTGCCATTCAGAAGCAGACACACTAGATACCCCAGGAGTGAGTTTGTTCTTGTGAGATTTCCAGCCCAGCTCTGTAGAGGTTCAAGCCTCAAATAAAACTTCTGAACTGGACACGGGACCAGATCCTGAGTTAGTGTCAATTGGTTTAATTCCATTGACTTCATTTAATATATGCTCCAATTAAATATCTCCCAGCTGGAAATCTGGTCTTCTAAATCCATATCTTTTTTGGTATTCTATTCATAACTGTACACCAGGTACTTCCTGTGCCAGCCAGTCCACACATGGGCATTTGAATAGAAATCTAATCTAGAGCCAAGGCCTGCAGCAAGCAGCATCCATCCCCACCTCATTCTCAGCAATCTCATGGCGGACAGAGGAGTGTTTGTCCTTGGCCTGTTTTTCCATTCAGTTCACCGCAGCTGAGAAGACCCTTTTGCCAGACTCTTTTTTTTTTAAACCATCTTACAGAATCTCTGTGGCCCAAGTGATACATTCATTTAGATATTAATTATGGAAGGTCTTGGCATCCTTTCATTTCAGGACATGTCATCCCTTGATCTCACACGCCCGTAACTTGAAAAACATCCCTGAGAAGCACTTGTAATATTCTCCAAATGGCTTGGAGAGGTCAGAGAAGAGTGTTAGTTTAGCAGGGGAGATAATGTCACCCTTGTTAATTGTGTATCTCTCTCTATCAAAAACATTTACCCTGGACCCATTTCAAACAGTCATCCTCTTCTTACCCACAAGCTTTCAAAGGCTTAGCATGTTTTCTAAACCAGGGTGGCTGCGTTTATTATTTTTCGCCGAAATCTCACTGTTTATTTGTCTTGCATTCGCTTGCTCCGTCAAGTTGAAAAGTTGGCAACACTACTTGCTGGTGTCAAGAGTTTACTGAGGCTGAATCTGATACCTTGGGCCTGGGAATCCTGTTAGACAAGTAATAACTATTTCTGAAGTCAGAAGCATTTTACATTGGCTTTATGAGAGCAAAAGAGGGACTGTATCTAAATCAGCATTCGAGGAAGTGTGGGACATAACGATGAGGATAGAGTGTCAGGTTTCATCTTGTAACATTAACGTGCCAGCACCAAGCACTGCTTTAAAAATCTCCTGGAGACTCTTTAATCAAGTTATTATTAAGATCTATAGCAGGCTTGGCTTTTGCTTCGGTGTGGGGTTTGTTTGGGGTTTTTTTTTTTTGTCTGATCTAATTATGCTCGGTTGCTCTGAAACAATTATTCAGGCTAATCTTGGCTGAGCACCCTGACACCACCCGACTGGGTCTCAGCTGATGTGCTGCAGGCGCCGAGAGGCAGCGTCCAGCTCACGTCACTGAGGGCTGTGCCTTTGCCCGAGCCGGACTGGGTCTAAGGCAATCTCAGTGCACAGGATTCAAACCAAACAATCGCGCTTGGCAGCATCTGGCGTTCCTGTTCAGATATGATGTGTCTGGGGAAAGACTGTAGGAAAAGGTGACCCTTAGGCCACATCTACACTACAGGCTAGGGATGTGATTCCCAGCTCGCGTAGACATAGTCACACTAGCTCAATGAGAACTAGCTTGAGTATGAATAGTCGTGTAGCCTTGGTAGCACAGGCGGCAGCAGCACAGCTTAGCTGGGCTGAGGACAAACCCTCCCGAACCCTGTGGGTACATAGTTGGCATGGCTAAGACACCACTGCTGTCACCCATGCTACCATGGCTACACTACTGTATATACTCAGGCTAGCTCTCGTCGAGTATGGCTACCTGACCTGGGAATCACACCCATAACTTGTAGTGTAGATGTAGCCTTAGAGAGACAGCTGCACAACTAAGGTTTTCATATACAGCCCTGGGATCTTCCATGCTCTGCGGTCACTACTCACCCAGAGAAAGTGGCTCAGAAGGGTCGGTCAGAATTCCTATTGCTACATCCTGTTTTCAGGTGAATAGAGGTGGGAGATAAGGTTGTTCCAGGCTGATGTATATGATTACAGCTGAAGACTTTTCTTTTAGTTACTAGTACATATGTTCTTGGGGGCAGTGACTATACCTATCTCTATGTTTGTACAGCACCTAGCACAAGGACCCAGACTAGGACTATCCAAAATTTTCAGCACTCAGAATCAATGAAATTGTGGCTTAAGTAACTTGTCCAAGGTCACACAGTGATGCAGTGGCAAGAGTCCCTAGAACTAAGGTATTCTTAGTTCCTGTGCTCATTATGGTATGCTGCACTGCCTCTCAGCCCTCTATTCCTTGTGTTCAGTGGGAATTGACCATCTTGGGTGTGGAGGAATCTGTGCCAGAGCCTTTCATTTGGGTTGGCTGTATATTTGAGATGGTTGGGCCAAATTCATCACTGGCATAATCAGGTACAACTCCACTGACGCCAAAACAGCTGCAATCACTTATTCCAGTGGTGAATTGGTCCTTTTGTGGCTTCCTTTTAGCTTTGTTTTGCATTTGGTTATTGTCCAGCCTATAGATAGGTACCTTATGAATGTTTCAAAAGAATGAATTTTTGACCGTAACCCTTCAAGTTCCTCTGCCACTTGACCAGTGAGATATTGATCCTGCCAGAAGGAAAGCAGTATTGGATTTCTACTGCACAGTACTCACTGCAGATTCATCGAAGCAAATTCTGAATCAGACTCACAACTATTAGAGAAAAAACAACCTTAGTGATTAAAGCCTCTGGTATTTTTTCAATGAAATAATACCTACTATTACTCTGGAAAAGTGTCTCCATAAGTCCCTATAAAAGCTATCAGGAGGCTCTAGAGTTCACTTCTCATTATTATTACAAGATGTAAGCATCAGGCATAAATTGGTGGACTTGCCGCTGCACAGCTCAGTTGCGCATCTTTCCTTGAACAAGGCCTCTGATCACATTCAGGATTTTTAAGGGCCACAGAGGCCTACCTGATTAAGACTAGGTGTTTGGGTAGAGCAATGGGAGCAGCTCCACAGCACTGGGAAGGAGTGTCCTACCTCAAGCCCGGGGAGTCCTCACTTATTTAGAGCTCTGTTGTCTCCTGCCCCTAAGAAATACTCTTACAGTCATCACTCACGCATTCCTCACTGAGCTTTAGGCCATTAGAAACTGGCTGCCTCTTACAGAAAAATAAACAGCCCCAGTAATGGGCTTCCAGTTCTTGGGGTGTTTTAATAGTTATTTACCTTCAAGCCAGAATCAATGGTTCACAGAAGAGTGAGATGGAAGAGACCTATTAAGTCATCTAGTCCACTTCCCTGTAGCTAATGCAAGACTGTCCCCTATGGTATATTCTTCACAGCCTCCCCCGCCTCCCTGCCCAACCTAATACATTCACTGTTAGGAAACATTTCCTAATATTCAACTTAAATTTTCCTTTGCTTCATTTCATCCCACTACTTTCAAGGCCCATCTTCACCATGCCAGGAAACCCAGGTAGAATATAGTAAAAATCTGTAGTGTGGAGGGACCTAACCATATTTTAACCATGTCACATTACCAAGCTAAACTGGACTTGTCCAAGTCTTTTATCAAGTCATATGACCTAGTATTAACCCCGTTAAGCTCCCATCCTCTCTACAAATTTTAACTCTATTGTAATTGGGACAGGACACAAGTGTTTTGTAGCATGGTCTTCTGACAAGTTTCTACTAATAGAGTAGACAGGCCCGTAATTATACATACTTGGTCCAAACCTATCAGCTCCCTCTGTTGGTATTTACAATTTTCAAAGAGGGCTTAGGCACCAGGTATGGGCACTGTAGAAAGAAAGCCTGAAGGCAAAGACTTGTAGGTGATTAGCATGTCCCCCTGAGTCACTGGTTAGCCAAACTATATATTTGCTTTCTTCTAATCTTCCTTCATAAGTTAGTTCCTCCGGTGCCTTAATCATTTCTCAGAGGGGTAGCCGTGTTAGTCTGGATCTGTAAAAAGCCACAAAGAGTCCTGTGGCACCTTATAGACTAACAGATGTATTGGAGCATAAGCTTGCATCTGACAAAGTGGGTATTCACTCACAAAAGCTTATGCTCCAATACATCTGTTAGTCTATAAGGTGCCACGGGACTCTTTGTTTAATCATTTCTGTTGCTCTACACTTAAACCTCTCCAGTTTGTAGCCATCTTCCTCGTGCAGAGGAGCCCAGAACTGAGTGTGTAATGTGAGGTAGGCACAGTCTCACAAGTGTATCACATGGGTGTGAAGCAGGAGTTTCCCCAGCTAACACTGAATACAAACTTGCACCTGACAAAAGTGGCATTTTTCGTGTTTTGAGTGTGGAAATTGCAATGTTCAGATTTCCCGCCACCCCACCCCCCAAAATGTTACAAATTCCTGCAGGCACAAATTCAAGAATTTTTGCATTGGTCCCTGTATAAGATGTTACTGTCTTGGGCCAATTTCAAAATGTATTTTAGGTGAAACTCACCCTCCCCATACATATAATCCCCTGGACTTGATTGAGACATTCAGCATTATGAAGGGCATAGTGAAAACTAACTAGTCCCTTCTTTCTACTCTTTCCTTTCATATGAGAAGAGGTAATTTAAAAGTAAAGGTTAGTGAAGGCAGAATCAATAAAGGAAAATACTTCTTTAGGCAGCAGAAGGTCAACCTGTGGAATTCACTGAGGTAAATACTGTGGCTGGATTTTAACAGGATTAGGTCATTGTATGAGCCATTATTAACATTTGTACCTACGTAATACTATGGGTAATTAAATCTCATCATGCTTTGGGCCTTAAACTATTCACCTGTGTGGCTCAGGAAGGATTTTTCCCTCATATGCAACATTGCACAATTGACTAGGAGTGTAATTATAAGAGGGGTTTTGCTTTCCTCTGAAGCATTGGGTACTGGCCACTGCTGGAGGCAGGATGCCAGACTAGATGGACCAACTGTCTGATCCTATGTGGCAGTTTCTATGTAGCGAATGAGATTTCAAGGACAGTCAGAACAAGGAAGCTGCAGCCTACCACTACGATATATATTCCAAGCATATGTACGTTTCCCTGCTGCTGAGCAAGAAAAGACTATATTTGCTGACATTTCATTCTAGAGCATTAAAAGGTATAATGTAAAGACCTCTGGATTTTTTTAATTTAGGACATGCATTTTGCATGAAAGGAACATTTCTGAAAGTTAATTGCATTTCAATTTGCCATAGACAGTTAATCACAGAACTCACTTCGGATCAAACTCATCATCTCTCTGGCTTGGGAGCAAATATTAAATGTCACTGTTTAAGTCTCTCTTCAAACATCAGTGTGATTTAGGTGACAGACAGAGCCATTCCCAGAGCAGTCCCCTGCCCTAGAGGGGACAGAAACACAAGGAGACCACTTGGTGGAAGCCAACAAGGGTCTGAAAGTTTCTCATTGTGTGGCCAAACTAAACCCTAATAAAATTTCTTTTATCTGGCACTCCAAGGCACACAGGCCCAGGGCCAAGTTAAACAGATACTTTCGTGCTTCTCCTTGTCTCCACTGACAACTTTAATACCTGGCAAATTAAAAGCCAGAATGTCTGTGGAGTCAGCTGACAAGAGTCAACAGGGCTAGGTAATAAAAGAAAAGTACATAAATAAACAGTAGACCAGAGAGACAGTTCTGCCGCTTATTCCAGAGGGAGAATCTATCTAACGAGAGGGGATGGAAAAGCTGCCAAGTGTGTGGCATTTTGAAGAAATTCCCACTGGTGTTTTCCTCTGGACAATGAGAAAGAAGAGAATTTAGATTTTGATAATAAAAGACTGTCCCATTGCTGGTACTCTCAGGGTTATAGCTTATTTCAGTCACGAGAGGCAACCTAGTGAGTAGTGATCTGCGTTGCCATGCAAGGAATTTGGGTTCAACTCCTAGTCCAGATCTAAGAGGCTAGCACAGCAGAGTTTGCCTGCACAGTTTACTTCTCTGTACCCTGGAAGTCTCAGGACTGGAGTTTATTGAAGAGATGCAAGAAGCATCCTAGTGGTTATATTTCTGCATCAACGTGCAGGAATCATGGTTTCATTTTCCTGTCTTGGGTTTGAGCAGGAGGTACTGACATTTTGGGGAGGACAACCACATTGTACCAAAATAGGCCCTACTGTAAAATGGCGCATCTCCCATTGAAGTCGAAGGCAGTTGCACCTGTTCATATGATGGCTGAATTTGGCTCAACATCTCAAGTGCTACTGACTTAGAATGAATCCCTTCATAGATTGGCATATGCAAAGTATCATCCAACCCCCCCCCCCCCCGCCCCAAAACTCCCCAAACAATGGAGAATTACAGGACTGAATGACTCAAAAGTGACCATTATAAACTGGCTGGTGCACATACACATAAGACGATACATTACCTGAGCCAATACAATACACCAGACATGCCTGCCTCCACCTCTCCAGAACAATTAACATTTACAATGAAAACACCAATACTAATTCTACTAGCCAGGCTGGTGACATCTCCATTCCTCTAAGTTCCCTGTGAGGCAGCCGCCCAGCAGGTTACCAATTGCCAGCAGTTCAGCTGTCCCTCCTCCCACAGCCATGTTCTGCTCCTGCCCTCTGCCTTGGAGCTGCTCCTGGGTGCCTCCTGCTTGCTGTGCAGGGGGGGAGGGGAAGAGGGGTGCTAATGTCAGGATGTCCCCCGACCCTCTGCTCCTGCCCCCTGCTTACCACATCTCCATAGAGCAGGGCGGGGGGACACGACAGGGCTCAGGATGGAGGGAGCTTGCTGCCAGCAGCTGCTGTTTCAACTTGCTGATCTACTTAAAAAGGCGATGTACTTAGAGTGGCGGTCAGCATACTTAAAAGGGCAATGCGCATCTCTCTCTCACGCACACACAGGATGTGTCTTTCTGTCTGCCATGCTGTCTCCCCTCCCTCCATTTGTGCTGCCTTGTAGAGTGTGAGGCTACATTAACAACAATGTGTTAACCCTTGAGGGCTCAGCTGAGTGCCAGTTCATCATTTAGCAGTAAGGCATTCCCTGGGAAATATCCCACCCTCTTCCACCCTCTGACTTCACCACCACAACCAAGCTTCACAATCATCATAGCTGTGAACAGTATTAAATTGTTTGTTTAAAATGTATACTGTATATATATAAAAGACATATATATGTCTTTTGTCTGGTGAAAAAAATTTCCCTGGACCCTAACACACCCCCCCCCCCCGTTTACGTTAATCCTTATGGGGAAATTGGATTCGTTTAACATCATTTTGCTTAAAGTCGCATTTTTCAGGAACATAACTACAACGTTAAGTGAGGAGTTACTGTGTTTTCCTGTACACATGTATTTTCCTACTGTCTGAGCTCTATAGAATTGGTTGATTTTATACTCTCCCTAGCGTGTTTAGGAGTCATTTTGAAGTGAGACATGAGCAATGCCATGATCAGAGTCAGTTTGCGATTATGGATTATTGCATAGAGATTCAGATCAGTTAGTTATACAGTCCTAACAACAGTGGACAAGTTCAGAGAACCACCTCCAGATCTGGATCTTTATCACCACCATCTCTGAATTATCCAAATCTCCTCCACAGAGATGCTTTGAATTCCTCGGGTGGAAGATGCTATAGATGAGCAAAATATTATTTATGAGGTTGCATATAATTACCTTTTTTGGGTTCAAGTGGCCTCTCTTCAAAGCCACCATGTGATGGCATCTGATGAAGACTGGTCCACACTCCCCTTGGAGTTCTCCTAGTTCTACCAATAGGGGTTGCTATTTAGCAACATAAATTGTTTCTTTCCCCACACCATCACCTAGAGCAGTGGTTCTCAACCTGTGGCTTGGGAGCTGCTTGCAGCCCAATCAGCACAGAACTGTGGCCCAGGTGACAGCCTCAGGGCCATACAGCCCACATAACACATTGTGGGCCACATATGTGTATGGTTAATAGGTTGAGAACCACTGCTCTAGAGTAAAAGAAGGTAGCTGGGAATCAAACTAGGGTCTCTCGAATAGCACCAATTGCAGGACACCAGTTTGGGCATCATGCAACTTAGCTGAAAGACTGTTCTGTAGTTTTAAAAGGTTACAAAGTATGTGTGTGAGAGAGATTTGCCCTACACTGCATGTAAAGTGCACTCTTGCTCTCCACATTGTTATAAATCGAAGTGTCTCATAGATTATTCATTAATCCCAGTTTTTACTGTATTTAAAGAAAAACCATAGCTTAGGATTGTGCTTTCAAAATGTCACATTCCCTGAGCTGGTGTCAGAACAATGACAGGAGCATTTATAACCAAGATACATACAGTACATTGCAGGGTGGTTCGTGGTGAGCGAAAGAGACAGGGTATAAGGACTCCTAGGTATTATTCCCAGCCCTGCTATTGAATCTCTGAGCGACCTTGAGCAAGTCACAAACTCAGTCCCCCCCTCCATCTGTAAAATGGGGATAATAGTTACATGTCTGACAGGGGTGCTGTGAGGATCTGTTCAGTAATGCATTTTGAGATCCTGGAAAGACAGATACTAGGCCAATGACAGATAAGAGCAAAGCTTTATAAGGAAAGGATCTGAATATTAGATTGTTTGTCTTTGTTTTAAACAGGCAGCGAGCTGTCAGCAAGAGCAAAGAATCCATGTTATCAGAGCATGAGATTGTGAAATACCAGCCAGCAGTACAGATTGATGAAGACACCATGGACTTCACCCTGGAAGACTCAGTCCTCCTGCCCATGGATCCAAACCTGGAATGCCACAGCCCACCTCCTGACTACAACTCTGTCATCCATTATTCTGCCCCTCCAGTGTAATCAGCCCAGTTCGATCTTTGCACCTCTTTCAGCAATGCTGGATTCTCACATGCCTCCACCATTTGTACAGGCTGTTTAAAAGGACTAGGGTAAAAAGAGGAGAAGGAAACTGACAGGGTCCCTGCTATGAATGGAAACCCTTAAAGAGCAGCTACCTTAAAAGGTATATTTCAGCTTATCTAGCTAACATACCAGAATCAAAAATAGGAGCTGCAGCCCAAAATTGCCCCCACTCCTTACTCCCCCCGCTGGATTGCTCAGTGGCAATTGCAGATGTGCAAGGTATTTCAATCCCTTTTTGCTCATTCCATACGAGAGTCACAGAGAATCAAATCAAGTCAGGTGTGAAAACAGTATTGATTCTGCTGGCCATACGTAGACCCTGCAAGGATTATACGCTCAGATGCTGTCCGGAGATCAGTTAAGAACTGCAGCCCCAAACACTGATATGTGGATTTTGAAACCGTACATTATTTTAAAAACATGGGGATCTCATTGTCCCTCCCAAAATATATTTTAAATATCAAAATTATTTTGCTTATGGTTGGTATTCTAATGGTGTTTATAAATCTTCTAGGATCCCTCCTTAAAACCATATAACATACACAGAGCATGGGTACTCTGAGTACCTGTAGAAAGCCTGGATTCGGTTGCATTCTGGGCACACTACACAGCTCATCTATTTCCCCAGGTGTTTCCTTTGTGGGAACAACAATTTATTTTAGTGCATTATTTTATAATGATTGTTCAGCACCCTAGGTCTTTGGATAAGGACTTTATAAATTTAGATAAATAAATTTTCCTGTGTGTGTGTGTGTGTGTGTGTGTGTGTGTGTGTGTGCGCGCGCGCGCAACAATGCAGGCCATATGCCACTGGGACACCAACAGTTTAACATAATTATTCTGTTTAACTCCTGACACATATCTTTATAGAAAGCACTTCCCCTAGATTCCACTGCTGATGCCAAACACAGTTTGATTTTTGGAATACCAACCAACATCACACTAGGAGCAATCTGACATTTAGGTTTGTACTGCTGGGGCCCATGCAGCCTGACCAGCTTGCTATTGTGGTGTGTAATGCCCTAAGCGAGTAAGTCAAAGCTTTTCGCAGTCAGGCCTGGCTGGATCACGGATCTACACAGCTGAGAAATTCAAAGTGACCTGCCCCTCACCCCCCACATGCTATGTACAGCAGGAGAATTGTAGGTTTGCCAGCATGCACACCCATCTCCTCCTTGCAGCAACCTCACAAGTAAGCAAGTAATCCTTGTAATTGAATGCACTGTGAAGTAATCTCAGCTGACATTAAAAATTTAGGCAGGAGTAAAGCATCTAGGATATCAAGTCTAAAGCAAGGCTGAGAAAGATGCTCATTGACTGTCATGCCTGTAACCTCCTAAATTATAACCTGGGAAAAGGAGCTTTACATTAATTTTCTCCCTGGGGATTTTTCCAAGACCTAGGAAACCCCTCCATTTCCTTCCCAGGTCTGGCATTAGCAATTACCTCTTTCCTTCAGAGGACAGATCTTTTTAAATGATCACAAACCGAAAGAAGAAAAGGCACCTGGCAAACAATGTGAGCATCTTTCCCTAACTCCTCCAGCATAGTGAAAACAGACCAAATGCTCTCAGAAAATTAGAATCATTTTCAAATTACTAGGTAGACCTGATAACATTGAAATAAGCATGAAAGAAGACTCAGGTATTATCACAGGGGAAAACAAAACATCCCAAGCCCAGTGCCCTCTTAACTGTGAATGGTAAAACATTTGAAATGGGGGATCCTCAGATTGTAATCCCAGTTCTCTTTAGTTCCTGAATTAATCTGGAAAAAGCATGCAGGCTCCCATTTAAAAAAAGAGATCTGCAGTAATTCACAAGGATGAGTCCCCTTGTTCCTAGTTGACCTGCTGGGAAGTTGTGGTCTGTAATTGCTTTATTGTCATTTTTGCACTTCTTTGTATTGTAGTAACTATGTGTTAACTAGAGCTGGTCAAATAATGAGAGAAACCTATTGGGGAATAATTTATCTAAAGAGTGACAAAAAGCTCTTTTGATCAGTTGTTCAGTGAATATTAAATTGACCATCTATAGAGCTGGTCAAATAATAAAGCACTTGGTTTGCAGATAATTTATTCACAAGACAAATGGAAAAAATGTCTCCAATATATAACTCTGCTGGGTCTAGCATTAACAGTGTCAATGTGAGACAGTTTTTGCTGTTGTACCTTGCTCTTAAGCTTGTGAAAATTACAGTGTGTAAAAAACTTTTGCTTGCAAATTCTAAATATAAGGAGGCCTAGGGAAAAAATAACAGTTGCAAGTATATAAATGTGCTCTCCATTTTTAAAATAAAATTGGAAACACTGCTGTGCTAATTAGCTGCTTCCAAGAAAACTCAGCATCTTTTCCCTTCCCCTTTGTTCAGAACACAATTTGCAGAGGCTTTTATGAAACCAAAGGGATGCAGGGGTTGTGTTCTAAGTGGAACCAAGGGAGTGCCTTTATTTAAGGGGGCACTGCATCTAGAGTCTTATTATGGCTTTTAGCCAACATCCATCACGGTTGTTTTTATGTCACATGAGAACACAGAAATGCAGGCCTGGGCACTCTCCTTGAGATCTGCAAAATTATACCCATCTTAATCACTGGTTCCATGGATGGGTCTCTAAAAATTGAGGACCTCCCTGTGATTCAAGGATCAGGAGACATCTAGGGCTAGCCATGCCTGATGCCCAGTTCATCAGAACCAGGACAACCCCTTAATCCCTATCTGAGGGTGGGAGGGTTTGGTTCCTTTATGTCAGCGTCAAAGCACTTAAGAAGTGTCCTGAACAAAACTGCAAATGATCAAGGTTTGGACAAATGTGTTTCCAACTTTTATTTGAGTGGAAGTTTCTTTTCTTCTTCATGGTAAATGAAACCAGCTGAACTATTACCTGACAAGTATTATTCATGTATGTGTCTTGTATTTTATTTACTAATATTTTGTTTGTACTTTCCTCTCCTCCCTTAATTTAATTATTGTTCTTTCCTTACATTGGTGTATATAGTTTACCCAGTAGAGGCAAATATAGCAATTCCTCTATATGATTATGTTTGTAACATTTTAGTCAAGAGAGAGATGGAGATCCCCTGACGTAACAGAGTTAAGTATCTTTACTAAACATTTCACTAATGCTTGCGGGCCAGGCTTGGTTTACAGTACTCTCCCATTTCCAGTTTATAGTGACTCTCCTTTTGGCTGTTAGCATCTTTGGCTCTCCTTTATTCCCTTTGTTACGTAGCTTCAGTTAGAAAACAGGAAGTGAGAGGAATCTGGTGGGCTTGTAACATTCCTGCAGGTATCAGCAGTGCAGCTCAAGGTAAAAGGGAGGGATTTTCCCAGGTTCTAGTCTAACTCGAGGCTGATCTACTGGCAGGAGGAAGAGAGGAGGCCAAATTGCTAAGTGATGTAATGTTTGATTTTTCAGACTTCTCAGGGATTCCTATTTGACTCCAGAGGGCAGTTGGCTACCTGCCTTTCTAATCTGATTCAGTTTAATGACAACTGTTATTAATCAGTGTAAACCTGTTGGGCTTTTTATGGTGCTTTCCCCTTCTGTTTTTCCCTAGCAACCCCAAAGTATCAGGCAAAGGGACTCTGAGCATTCAGGGGCAAGGATCTCCCCTGATGAACCCTGGGGTGAGATAAGAGGCCAAGGATAAGGTACCTCATTGGGGTCCACAACCATCTTATTATTCTGGTGTTTCTTGACATCTATATTCCCTGGTTCCCCCTTTTCCTTACTATCCATGTATCTTAACACTTAATTTCATGGAAAGTGCAGATCATGTATAGCCTCCCTCCTGGCTTCTCCCAGTAGCTTCTTCTCTGCCTTTTGGCTAAGATCAAGTGTACAACTGGTTTCAGTCTGATATTGCCCAGGTATCCTGTACTTGCTGGGGATTGACTAGATAGCTAAACAGGTCTTCTTCTTTTTTCACCTTTAACTTTAACCTTTTCCCATCCTAAGACTTCCTACATTGGCTGTGGCTTTTTTATCTCTATCAGAAACTGTCCCGGTAGCATCTCCCTGAACAAAATATGTTTCTTCTCTTCTGGGTATTTAAATACCCAGCTTCTCCAGCAAGCTAAAATTTGGTGGATTTATAGCTGAAGTCTATTTGTCTCTCCTGTCTCCTTCAGACACTTAGATCACTCTTTGCCTCTTTCACTTTATCTTAACCAGCTGGAGGGCCCAAACTCAGACACTGGACCCATCTCCCCCTCCCCTGAGTGCCAGGGCACCTCCAATCAAAATGAAAATCTCATGTCTCAGGCCTTTCTCTGTAGTAGGCTCAAATGAGGACATTAAATCTAGACCCCTGTTAAATTTGGATCCATGCTGAGATCCAAATCTAAATATCTCCAAACGCCACAGTTTGGATCTCTCTCTAATGTGAACACTGCTCTTTCTTGCGACTCTGTTGGGCAGTTGTCTGGAGTCCTTCAAAAGGCCATGGCACTTTATCACTTCTTCTCTGCTTCCTGTGTATTGTGAAGAGTGTTCACTGGCACTTTACTCTGTAACCAGTTAGTCAAAAGCTTAAGACATAAATTTTCTCAATAACATTTCATCTTCAGCAGTGGCACTGTCTTGTCACATCCCATCTTACCTGGGAAGTGTTATCGGCTTTTAATACAATTACAAGGGTGTGGTCTTGATTAATGGTTTCTAGCTCCCAAGTCCCAACTGGGCAATCCCATGGAATAAAATGCCTCTGATGAAACATCATCAGCAAAATGTCCATAACAAGATAGGATGCTACAAAGCACAGGATCTGTAGGAGATGATGCAATTCTGAACTCAAACACAGGGCCTTCTTCTTAAAATTAATTGGAAGGAGAGAACAGGAGAGGAGGTATGAATTTCCCTTGTTCGACCACAGCTCTGGTTTGTTTGTACCAAGTGTTGTTTCCATATTGTGTAGAAGGACAAAAAGTCCCAGTTCCTGGCTGGACTGCAAGAGCTCACTGGCATGCCAACCAAATATGATGCCTTAAAAGATATGGTTACTCACGAAGACTAGCATGGAATGCAGGAACCAAAGAGTGTCTTTGCCCGCCTGATAATCCTGTTTCACAAGAGCCAGCCCAGCCTTATTATTCAATTCATTTTTCCTTAGACCTTGAGCTGTCAAAGCTGTTAATGAAAGCTGGGAAAGCCCAATAACTGTGGAGTTAAGGAAAATAAACTAAGCAAGTGCCATGGTATTACTCAAATCACTATGGAATGTCTGGGTGCCCTGTCCCTGTCTGGCTGAAGAATGTATGCACTGAAAACTCCGCTTTCTTACATAGTCGAAAATTGTATTGTATCTATTAACCAAAATAAAATGATTCTATATTTATACAGCCCGGGACTCCTTTGTGTCATCTGTTGTCTCGTGCGAAGTTGTCCTTGAATCATAATATAAATAAATAAAGCAACAGTGGTTTCAGAAGGTTTACAGGGAATGGAATTTGCATTAATTGCTTTATGGCCTTCAAAGGTTAGGACATAAACCTGCCACATTGTAACAGCTCAAAGATGTCTAACGGCCATATTTGCTTAAAAGATTCCTGATGCTGGGAAAATGCTTGGCCAGATTCTGATCTTAGTTACACTAGTGTAAATCCACAGATCTGACATGATCTCAGCACAGTGCGGTATAGACACTGGCAGCTGAAAACTACAGCTCATTAGACACGAAGGCTCTGGTCCTACAAACAAATCAATAGGACTATTCAAATGCTTAAAGTTAAGTCTTTGTGGGATTGAAGCTATGCCCCTCAATAAGAGCCCTAATTCACCAAAGCACTTAAGCACATGTTTAAACCTCACTGACTTCAATGGGACTGCAAGTTAAGTACAGGCTTAGGAGTTTTGCTGAACATGGCTGCAATGCTGTCTGCTCTTCAAGACTCAAATGTGTGACATTGGGCTGTGTGACAAAGAGCTCAAGTCAACGGCAGAACATGGTGGCATTTGGGGTTTCGTTAGACGTGGCTTAGCATTTCCCAAAGATGTTTTTCCCTTCATTTAAACAGCTGCTTTGCAAAAGAGATCTAATTCAAATAAATATTTTCTAATAAACATCAAAGACCCTCAAAAGTTGGCTCCCCAGCTGAACCGAAGTTGGACCGCTCTTTCCTGAATCTGGAACACCTAGCTTACAGAGGGGTTCTAAAATGTAGAAAAATAAGATGTGAAAATATATATATATAAATATTCAAGAAAAAGCTTCAAATGACATGAGGTCGTTTGCCTTGACATTTGGTAAGATTCCTCTAATCACAGCTTCCAATGTCTCCTGTCCGTTTTCAGTGGTATGGTTAACGATTGTTGGCTGAACTATCTTTGATAGCTTTTCGCTAAGGAACATCTGCCAGTGTCAGACAGACTGGCCGAGATTCATTTCTGTTTCTTTTTCCACACAAAGGATTTAATTAGAAATCCGTTGTGTTCCAGAGATATTTCTCTATTTGCGCACTTTAAAAGCTGGCATGGTCTTGCACTAGACAGTTGGGTTTGGAAAACTCCAGAGCACTCGGTCACTTGGAACCTTTTAAAGTTTCTCTCCATCCCTTGTTCCAAATAGTCCTGGAACTAAATGTGTCTAAATTATACATGTCATGCAAAATCCAGCAGTCTCCTCTCATTCACATAATGAGCAGGAACACTCTTCCACTGTAAACTATGAAATGCTTTAGTGGCTTATATAATGCATCACTCATGTATAATTTTGCTAGGCAATATAGAAGCTCCTCCTGTATGAAGCTAATGTATCAAACGGCAGAAAGAAAATATAGAAAATTAACTTAGTTTGATTCACTTTTAGCTCATAACATAATTTATTGATTGCCTGGTATTATGCGTGGCTGCAGCTAAACTTTTGCAAGGTGCCTGATTTTGCCTTGCCTTAGGGAAGGATAGTCTTGTGGGTAAAGCACAAGACAAGGATTAAAGGGATCTGAGCTCTTCTCCCAGTAAACTGTCTTTTGCCTCCATGAAGCAGAATACAATGAAAGAGAAGTCCTTGGTCCCTGGACTAGGCTGTACTTCTCCCCGGTATGTAGAACTTTATTCACAAGGTGACACAAAGGAGGTGGCGCCCACATAGACTCAAAAGGATGCATTTATTTTTGTCAGTTCCTAACTAGCTTGTAAGTGCCTCAGGGTAGAATCACATCAGATCATCTGTTATGAGAGGCACCTAGCACATTGTAAAAAAAAAAAAAAAAAACTGTACGAAACCCATACTAGGAGAACCTGACTCTTTGGCCTCCTTTAGTGGCTGGCCCACATAAAAGAAAATCAGCCTGCTACTCCTTCCAGGTAGCAGACTTACTTCTTTAGTTCAAGTGTTAGCATCTCATGGTTTTAGAAAGAGAGGCCTCAGGTTCAAGGCCCAAGTAGGGCCAATTTAAATAATAATAAACATTAATAAATAAATATAAAATATATTACCCACCTACCGTGTCTTAATAATAAATATGTCATTCAGAGCTTACTGAAAGAAAATACTCCTCACATTTGAAGTATCTGGCTTTATTTAGCCTAGAGCAGTGGTTCCCAAACTTGGTTCGCGGCTTGTTCAGGGTAAGCCCCTGGCGGGCCACAAGACGCTTTGTTTACCTGGAGCATCCGCAGGAACGGCCGCTCGCAGCTCCCAGTGGCCGCAGTTCACCGTTCCCGGCCAATGGGAGCTGTGGGAAACGGTGGGCCACTTTATGCAGTTCCCATTGGCCGGGAACGGCGAACCGCTGCCACTGGGAGCCACGAGCGGCCATACCTGCGGACGCTCAGGTAAACAAAGTGTCCGCGGCCCACCAGGAGCTTACCCTGAACAAGCCGTGAACCAAGTTTGGGAACCACTGGCCTAGAGGAAGTTGAGCCAGGACACCCAATTCTTCAAGGAGTTCATTGGAATTTCGTCTGGCAGTCCGCTCTTTTTTTTTCTCCCTTTTTTTTTTTTTTTGCATTTTTATTGATTTCACCAGATTGATTTTAGTTGAAAGTCCAAAGAAAAATGCAGAGTTGTTTCAAAACAGAGAGAAACAATGTATGCACTGAGGGGGGATAGCTCAGTGGTTTGAGCATTGGCCTGCTAAACCCAGGGTTATGAGTTCAATTCTTGAGGGGGTCACTTAGGGATCTGAGGCAAAATCAGTACTTGGTCCTGCTAGTGAAGGCAGGGGGCTGGACTTGATGACCTTTCAGAGTCCCTTCCAGCTCTATGAGATAGCTAGGTAAAACCAAAGGAAGGTGACTGGAAGGCTAGGGATCAATGCTGAAGCGCTGCTAGGACAAGAATAAAATCTGCTGGTGGAGTCTGATTAGAGGAGCCATGGCAGCAGGAAGCACTGGGCCTCCAGCAGGAGAGGATATTTTAGAAAACAGGAATCAATCATTTGCACATAGGGAGGGAGTTCCAGCACAAGAGCTGATCCTGCTCCCATCATGGTAATGGTCTCAAGGAGTCAAATTCATCCCTAAGTGGACTCTGGAGACTGCTTTATCTTATATCTTCTTTTGGCTGTTTTTTTCTTGCTACTACCCATTCTTCCCTCGCTTGGCATGTAAATGATATCACTTTGCGTTCACTTACACCATTTACATCACCTACATGATACAGCATTTGCCAACTGTGTCACCTGGTCATAATGGCTTTTCCTGTTGCAATATCCTCAAAGGCCAAGTCTTTGTTGTCAGTCTCCATAATCTTTGTGCCAAGCCTAAAGTCAAACATGGAAGCAGTCCCTGCAGGAGACTCTGGGATCCTTACTTCATCACGTCAGTAGTGATGGAGAGTGGGGACAACCCAGCTGTTAAATATGCACGGTCTCTGAGCTAGGCCAGGAATGGGTACCCCACCTGCCTTTTTGAATTGACACACATATTTTCTTCTCTTTTTTTGTTTTTTGCCTCCCCCCCACCCCCACCCTACCAGACTATTGCAGGAGAAGACTTTCAAATCTGGCAGCGGATTTAAGATGAATAAAATCAATAGCACAAAGCAGCCCCCCCTTTCCCCATTGAAGTAAATGGAGAATTTTGCCCCAGCAGGTCCCATACTCGGTGCTGTGCCCTCTGCCCCTCTAGGCTGCACTGGATGAGCAATGTCAGCCTGACCTTTATAAGCCAGAACTATATATTCTGATCTGCAGAGGCAAGGACTGGATCAGCAGAAGAATAAATTGGGGCATCTTTGGACACACTGCTTGGAGTAGCGCCTGTTTATTTTTAAGCTGTGCTATTGTCAGAATGAATTCCTCAAGCATCCAAAGGTTAATTTGCTTTTCATAACTATGCATTAAAAGAAATGAGAACTTTATTCTTTCCTGGGAGAGATTTGACCTTTTACTCATGTATATTTTTCAAATCCTGTCCTCCACTGTTTATGCCCCAAGCAAGAATGTCACAAGTCGTCTTAGCAGCGAGCACAGCCAACAAAGACAAGCAGGGGTAAGGCAAGGAGAGCAGGTGTGGAGTGGGAAACATTGATGTGCTACACTGCCTGTCCCTCATAGAACATCTGCAATTACCTCTCCCACCCCCTTTCTCCTAGAGCTACTGAGGCAAGCAGTAAACCACCAGCATGTTGTGAGGTTGAGAGAAAGTGGTAATGTGACTTAGCAGCCTCCCATCCTGGGGTGCTGGGACAATTTTTATAGTGAGGGCACTGAGAGCCATGGAACCAAACTGTAAACCCTGGATATGATGGAAACCACTTCAAGCCGGGGGGGCGGCAGCACCCCCCACACCTTTACTTCTAGCACCTATGCTCACATCAGGCAGAGAGGAAAGTGGGCTAAACCCAAACCACCACTTGCCCAAACACTGGGATAGTTTGGCTCTGATTCTGATTGTCATGACTGGCTTACAGCTGTTATAATGAGCTAACCCTAACTCATGGGTTGGAATCTACGGTGCATGTTGACAGTCGTTATTGCATTGATGGAGCAGGCCATTATATTGCTACCTATTGACACAGCATCACCCTGGGCTAACAGAGGGATAATGTTGTCAGTGAAGTTGCAACGCTGTCGTGCCATGATGCTGATCCACGATTTTGTTCATTCGGGATTATTTACTTGGCCTGTAATGAATAGGACAGGCCTGAAGATTTCAAGGAACAATGGCAATCTGACAAGCACTGTCCCTTCCTCTACAGAACACATTGCCTATGCGGTACACCTAGTTCCTGCCAGCCCAGATAGGGGCAGCTAGGGCCTGAGGACAAATCTGCGTTTTTCCTATGTGCCACTACGGCTGGCTCTGACTGACTTCAGTCCAGTGAAATTATTAACCATTATTATTAGTACTTGCAGTACTGTGAGTAAGGCAGTTATTGCTTTCTGATACCTGCACCT